TACGTACAGTTGAAGTCAGAAGTTTACATACACTTAGGTTGACGTCATTAAAACTCGTTTTTCAACCACTCCACAAATTTCTTTTTGACAAACTATAGTTTTGGCAAGTCGGTTAGGACATCTACTTTGTGCATGACACAAGTAATTTTTCCAACAATTGTTTACAGACTGATTATTTCACTTATAATTCACTGTATCACAATTCCAGTGGGTCAGAAGTTTACATACACTAAGTTGACTGTGCCTTTAAACAGCTTGGGAAATTCCAGAAAATTATGTCATGGCTTTAGAAGCTTCTGATAGGCTAATTGACATCATTTGAGTCAATTGGAGGTGTACCTGTGGATGTATTTCAAGGCCTACCTTCAAACTCAGTGCCTCTTTGCTTGACATCATGGGAAAATCAAAAGAAATCAGCCAAGACCTCAGAAAAAAATGGTAGACCTCCACAAGTCTGGTTCATCCTTGGGAGCAATTTCCAAACTCCTGAAGGTACCACGTTCATCTGTACAAACAATAGTACGCAAGTATAAACACCATGGGACCACGCAGCCGTCATATCGCTCAGGAAGGAGATGTGTTCTGTCTCCTAGAGATGAACGTACTTTGGTGTGAAAAGTGCAAATCAATCCCAGAACAACAGCAAAGGACCTTGTGAAGATGCTGGAGGAAATAGGTACAAAAGTATCTATATCCACAGTAAAACGAGTCCTATATCGACATAACCTGAAAGGCCGCTCAGCAAGGAAGAAGCCACTGCTCCAAAACCGCCATAAAAAAGCCAGACTACGGTTTGCAACTACACATGGGGACAAAGATTGTACTTTTTGGAGAAATGTCCTCTGGTCTGATGAAACAAAAATATAACTGTTTTGCCATAATGACCATTGTTATGTTTGGAGGAAAAAGGGGGTTGGTTGCAAGCCGAAGAACACCATCCCAACGTGAAACACGGGGGTGGCAGCATCATGCTGTGGGGGTGCTTTGCTGCAGGAGGGACTGGTGCACTTCACAAAATAGATGGCATCATGAGGAAGGAAAATTATGTGGATATATTGAAGCATCTCAAGACATCAGTCAGGAAGTTAAAGCTTGGTCGCAAATGGGTCTTCCAAATGGACAATGACCCCAAGCATACTTCCAAAGTTGTGGCAAAATGGCTTAAGGACAACAGAGTCAAGGTATTGGAGTGGCCATCACAAAGCCCTGACCTCAATCCTATAGAAAATGTGTGGGCAGAACTGAAAAAGTGTGTGCGAGCAAGGAGGCCTCCAAACCTGACTCAGTTACACCAGCTATGTCAGGAGGAATGGGCCAAAATTCACCCAACTTATTGTGGAAAGCTTGTGGAAGGCTACCCGAAACGTTTGACCCAAGTTAAACAATTGAAAGAAAAGCTGAAATAAATAATTATCTCTACTATTATTCTGACATTTCACATTCTTAAAATAAAGTGGTGATCCTAACTGACCTAAGACAGGGAATGTGTACTAGGATTAAATGTCAGGAATTGTGAAAAACTGAGTTTAAATGTATTTGGCTAAGGTGTATGTAAACTTCCGACTTCAACTGTACCTTACCCTGTGTGTCTTTTTTCTATCTGTTCTCCACAGGTGATGCTGAAACACAAGGACAAGAAATGGTATCAGCTTTAAAGGGAGGACAGCGGGCTGCAACTGCCCCTCTACCTGGTGGGGGGGCACTATGCTGGGACATGGACCTTTACTCGACGGACATGAGAGCGAGAGAGATAAAGAGAGACACAAGAGTGACTTTGTGTTAATGGGCCTCTGTAGGCCGTCTGTACATCATTGTCACAAAACTTGGACAGAGGGCAGTCACTTATCTAGACTATAGTGAGATGGACACAGACCAGGAAGTACGTTGGTAAGACAGGGGAACCCAAAGTGGATGATGACAGTCCATCAGTATGTGTGGGTGGGTTACCCAGATCTTGCTGTGTAGATACTCTAAAGTTAATAATCCAACAAGACTGCATGAAACTAAATGGATGAATACTAAAAAAGTAAAACTGCCATATTAAAAAGCAGCATGCTACTTTAACAGAGGGAAATAAAACAAAGTAAAACTTTTATTTAATAATATAAGCCAACAACAGAAAGTATGAAAAAAACTTTATATTTTTTGAAATATGGATGAAAAAATATATAAAAACGAAAATGTATACCTGCATAGCTATAAAGCCACATTTTTCTTTTAGCTTTTTTTATTACTTTCATTTGGTTTTGAACACATTCTGAACACACACATCATTTCAGTTTCAACACTTCCTTTACACAATACTACTACTGATGATACTATTCATATTCCCACCATTAGACACTGAGCTCAAACTATATCGTTATCCAAGATCTCTGTGGTGTGCACACAGTGCAAAAACACAATCTATTCTTTCAACACATATCACCACACATTCTGAACAACTGAATTGTCGATTTTACTGGCACTAATTTCATTCTGTTGGCTGCTGCTACTGACTATACCTGTTATCAGGAAAAAAAAGGTACATTTCACCCCCCTGACAGAAATGTATGAACACAGAGAATATATTGATTAATAATGTGTGAACGGTTATGGAAATGAGATGTGTTGGCTGAGGTGGCACGGTGATAGTAGTCTGTGAGGTCTGGATTGAGTGTGTTTATATTTCTAATCTAAACATATATAACATAATGTAATAATTCACGTGCCATAAAGCAAGATGGGTGAAGCCCCTTACTGTAAACTAGCAAAGAGCTAATACTATGTGGTAGTAATGATGTGTTTGCTGTAGATGAGAGTAGGCTAGGTGAGCCCAACTTTTCAGTATGGCCGTTGATAGGCGTCTGTCGTTGTAACTGAGTTTCTGGTTCTTTTGACAGAATTGTGACATTCTATTTTTTCTGTTTTGTTTTTTGTTGTTGTTTATTGCTTCTTCATTGGAATCTTCTGCTGCCTTTCTCATATTATGTATGAGTTTGTTGAGCCAGTGTGTGTCTCATGCAAGGCCATGTAAAGACAAAACTCTTACTCTTTCTTCTGCCAAAGCAATTCAACATGAATGAAGACGTCAGTTGGAGGAGTGTGTCATTATATGTTATTGTGGGTGGTGGGTCCAGTGTTTACATTTTGGTATCCAGAATGGTCCTCTTTTACACGTTGATGTTGAACTATGCTTCAGAAGTCTCCAGGTGTCATGTTGAACAGGAGTAGGCCTAGCTAAAATACTGAGGTAGAGTCGGATCCATTTAAATACTACTACCAATCCGGATAAAATATATCCTGCGGTCGGTCCGTGTTGTTGATCTATAAGGAGAAATGGAATAGGAGCCAGACTAATAATAACCTACCATCATGAGCCTTGCCGTTGTCAGGTGTCGTTGGCACATACAGTATACGGATCTTCTATGTTACACATACCGGTACATGTAAGGAATCCAGACTGATATGATTTTGAAGCAAAGGTGTTTATATTCTTCGTTTTACTCGTAATTGCTCTTGATGACCTTAATGTAAACCCCCTTATCCTCACCCCCTAGTGGATGGTGGTAGCCTCTTCTCTCCTAAATTATCATCTATGTACAAAGATTGATCTATGATACATGTTATTGTATATGTTGTACAAGTCAATAAGTGTACACGTAACACTGACAAATCCTCTCGTAACTGATAAAATGTGACATGAAAATACCATTATTTATTTTTCTGTTTTCAAAGGTTATGTTTGTATTTTCAAATAATATACGAAAGTCTTAATGATTGTTATGACCACAACAGTCACTCACTCTCCCTCACCGACGCTCACATATCCACCCTGCCTTGAACCACAGAAGGGTGGTTACCATGACCATACAGGCACCATTCTCCCACACAACATATGTTACACAACACAATCTAGCTGAGACACACACACAGGTAAAAACCTGCATTATCATTATTCATTTCACTCTGCTCCTTCTCAGGCTAATGAGACATTCCTAAAGGACAGACAGTCTACTGTACTGGGAGCCAGTCAGTCCCAGAACCTAGACAGAGTTAGATTCTATTGCCTGGCTGCTACAGTACTTGGTTGCTTTCCAGGCTAATATGAAGGTCATTGTCCATAACTGATTGTGGTGGTCTAATGAAGAGGGAACTGATCTATTTCTCTATGTGTACTTTACTGTCCCTGAGGTTTGTGTTGAGTTAGTACCAGTGCAGTTAACTTCAATGGCTGAGAAAAAGAAAAACGTGACTTCTACTGACATAAAGGGTGTTTTGTTTGTATGTTTTTTGTTTTTATATCAACTGTACAACAACGCTGGCTGGGAGTAAAGAAAAACACAAAAACATAGAAAAAAATGATATTCTTAGGATATTCTTTCTCTGTAGACGTCATACCTGTTAAATGAATCATGGTACTGTACCTGATTATTCTGGCTGTGTCTAAAGTCACTAGAACTCTTGTCCACACTGTTGTTTCCTGGCCAAGCCAACTGTTTCTCTGGTTGTTTTCTCAACGATGGCAGCAAAGTTTGTCTTGTTTAAATGGATTCTACCACCTTTTGTTCTTATTGATATTATAGTAGTGTAATAGAGATTACTGAAAAATGAACTGAAAATATGTTGATGCAAATCAAAAATTCAAATAAACATTGATTGATGTACACACCAGACAACCTTGTACTGCTATGTTCCCCAATATGACTTTTGTGACTTTTTGAAAAGTAAGGCTACACACTAAATGGCTGTAGTATGGAGCCATAACGATTGTTACAATTGTAAATGGAAGCCTTTTGTAGACCAACATTGCACCAATATATATATATATATATTAGGTCAATAAGTAAAATCCACTATCTTGGAACATTGAAACACAAACCACTCTTATGTAAAATTGCCCTAGCATTGCAATAAATAAGTTAGTCCAATGGCCTTTCCCTACCCGTCTGGTCCAATCAGCATCCCGCTCTACCAGACGTAGTGGGGGCGACCAATCAGATTGCCAGCCTCGCCTGTCTGCCTGCGAAGAACTTCTCCCCATATCGACCAGGATTTTGTGTGCATGTATGTTTTAACAGAAACTTTACCCGTAAAAATGTGACACAGACAACAGCAAACGAATAGAAATACGTTGTGTTGTGTATATGTGAATATAGTGTACACTAATCGAAACATTGCATCCGCATATTTGCCAGAAAGGGTGTTTCGCTGGATGTAGGCTGTGCACTGCTGGCGGCCAGATGTCGAATTATCCGGCGTTTCCTACATTTTACCGGGATGGGCATTTAAAGGTTTGAAATTCCATTGTACAAGAGCAGTTTGGAAGAGACAAGGGACCAAAGCATTTTCAGAAGAACCGAGTCGCAGAAACATGTTGTGTAGGGTGCTTTCGTTGTTTGTGTTGTGCTGTCTGGGGCTGTTGGAACAGACACCTCCCGGGGCTTCAACCGGCGTGGTGCCCAGTGCTACAAGAACTTTGGTATGGGGTTCTGGACTCCAGGCAAATGTTGTCCTTCCAGCTCGTTTCTTCTACATACAGACTGTGGACAGCTCGGGGAGAAAGTAAGTATGTCGTCATTCTTTAAGGAAACCTCCCAGACGATACAAAGCGGTTAGCTAGCTACCAATGGCATAGGCAGTCGACACAATGTAGCAGTGGAATAATAAAACCACACGTGAATTGTGATAGGAAGTGCAGATAAAGTAGAACCGGGCGCTTACGTCACTGAACAGACACGAATGTCTGTGTCCCTAGGGATGGAGATAGATAGTATTCGGGGACAACACTCATTGAACCCATCTTTGTGGCACCTCTCACTTGGTCAAATCAGGTGTCGCGGGTCTGGGTTCTCAGCGCATTTCACATTTTTCTCATGTCTGTCTTCTCCAAAAGTATAAATTGGCTGTTACACATTGTTCTAAATAAGTGTCCTCCACAGTAATGCCATTGTTGTTTTGGGTGTTTACTCACGAGGTTCACTTTTGGCCTACATAATTGTAACCTAATTTAACAGTTTTACATGCATACGTCACCTGGAGTTTATACCACAGATAGGCCTATAGTGCCTTCAGCAGGTATTCACACCCCTTGACTTTTTGTTTTGTTGCAGCCTGGATTAAATTTAGATTATTATTTTTTGTCACTGGCCTACAAACAACACCCCATAATGTCAAAGTGGAATTATGTTTACAAATGATGTCCTGAGCCAATAAGTATTCAACCCCTTAGTTAATGCAAGCCTAAATAGGTTCATGAGTAACAAGTCACATAAATTGCAGGGACACACTGTGTGCAATAATAGTGTTTAACATGATTTTTTGTGACAACCTCCATCTCTGTACCCCACACATAAAATTATCTGTAAGGTCCCTAAATCAAGCAGTGAATTTCAAACACATTCAACCACAAAGCCCAGGGAGGTTTTCCAATGCCTCGCAAAGAAGGGCACCTATTGGTAGATGGGTAAAAAAATTAAGCTGACATTGAATATCCCTTTGACCATGGTGAAGTTATTAATTACACTTTGGATAGTGTATCAATACAACCAGTCACTACAAAGATACAGGCATCCTTTCTAACTCAGTTGCCGGAGAGGAAGGAAACCACACAGGGAATTGTGGTCCTCTGTAGCTCAATTGGTAGAGCATGGCGCTTGTAACGCCAGGGTAGTGGGTTCGATCCCCGGGACCACCCATACGTAAAAATGTATGCACACATGACTGTAAGTCGCTTTGGATAAAAGCGTCTGCTAAATAGCATATTATTATTATTACTATTATAATTATATTATTATTTCACCATGAGGCCAATGGTGACGTTAAAACCGTTAAAGTTTAATAGCTGTGATAGGCGAAAACTCAAGATGGATAAAAAACACGAGTTACTCCACAATACTAACCTAATTGACAGAGTGAAAATAAAGAAGCCTGTACAGAATAAAAATATTCCAAAACATGCATCCTGTTTGCAACAAGGCACTAAAGTAATACTGCAACAAATGTGGCGACGCAATTCACTTTTTGTCCTGAATACAAAGTGTTATGTTTGGGGCAAATCCAATACAACGCATTACTGAGTACCGTTCTCCATATTTTCAAGCATAGTGGTGGCTGCTTCATGTTATGGTTATGCTTGTAATAGTTAAAGTCTGGGGAGTTTTTCAGGATAAAAAAGAAACGAAATTGAGCTAAGCACAGGCAAAATCCTAGAGTAAAACCTGGTTCAGTCTGCTTTCCATCAGACACTGGGAGATACATTCACCTTTCAGCAAGACAATAACCTAAAACACAAGGCCAAATCGTCACTGGAATTGCATACCAAGAAGACAGTGGCAGAATTACAGTTTTTACTTAAATCTGCTTAAATCTATGGCAAGACCTGAAAATGGTTGTCTAGCAATGATCAACAACCAATTTAACAGAGCTTGAAGAATTTTGAAAGAATAATGGGCAAATGTTGCACAATCCAAATGTGGAAAGCTGTTAGAAACTTACCCAGAAAGACTCACAGCTGTAATCACTGACACAGGTGATTGTAACATGTATTGACTCAGAAGGTTGAATACTTATCTAATCAAGATATATTAGTGTTTTATTTTTAATGATGTGTTTTTTACAAATGTTAGAATTTTTCTTCCACATTGACATTACAGAGTATTTTGTGTAGATCAGTGATATAAAATTACAATTAAATCAATTTTAATTCTACTATAACAAAATGTAGAAAAAGTCAAGGGGTGTGAATACTTTCTGAATGCACTATAATCTGATTTGTAGATACTATTGTGATCATATGATGGCCATCAGCTCAGCCAAATATAATATGCTCAGCTCACAGGCCTACATGTTGTTTCCCTCTCATGTTTGTATATGTCGTTGTGTATGCCATTCAGTTTCACATCATCTCCCGGAGAGAACACATTTGAGGTGAAGATCATGTCCCCAGTGGAACAGTTCACTAGAATCTGGGTGCAGGTTCTAGATCGCAAAGATGGCTCCTTTCTGGTGCGCTACAGAATGTATGCCAGCTACACAGACCTACACATCCACATACTGCTCAACGACAAGCACGTCGCCACGTCTCCATTCATTCTGAAAGGTAAACCAACAAACTCTCTTTCGCTCTCTCTCTCTCTCTGTCTCCCTCTCTCCCTCTCTTTCTCTCCCTCACTCTCTCGGTCTCTCTTCCTCTCTCTCTCTCTCCTTGTCTTTGTCAATTCAATTCAAAAGGCTTAATTGGCATGGGAAGTGTTACCACATACATTGCCAAAGCAAACATATAGACTTATCAAATCAATGGTGATGCAGATAGATAATAATAGGAAAAATTATAATACTCAATGAGTAATAACAATTAACAGGACAATATAGTAATAAATGAATGAGGACAATATTTAATTAGTGAGACACAGGTAGCAATGGTATTGTCCTGGTTGGTCGTTCCACTGGCTGTCCCTACGGGTGTGGCAGGAAGCAACATTTTTTGCAGCTAATATGGCACAAAGGGGTTTTTCTCCAAATAGATATTGGATTTTCATCTTTTCTGTTTTTGTTTCAAAATCTTTGTATTTGTTTTCAATTTTTGGGGAAGAAAATTGCCTGAAAGTCTGCATAGTTCTCGCAGTGTAGGAGAAAGTACAGCTCTGTCTCGACCTCTCTCTGAGGGCAGAGTGAGCACAATCTGTCCTCTCTGGGTAGCCATATCTACCTGTGACAGCCAGTTTCTATGGCCAGGCTGTGCTCACTGAGTCTATACAAAGCCAGTGTTTTTCTCAGATAGTCTGCCACTGTGTACAGTCTGTTTAGAGCCAAATAGCATTTAAGTTTACTTTCGATTTTTTGTGGTGTCTTTTCCAATAGGTGATATATTTAGCTTTTTGCTTACACTTGTTTTTAAATGATTATAACTTTTGGTGGCTCTTTTAATATTAATCAGAAGAGGCAATTGGCCTAATTCTGCTCTGCATTCGTTGTTTGAAGTTTTTCTCTGTACTCTGAGGATGCTCTTACAGAATTCCGAATGCAGGGTTTGTCAATGCTTTGTAAGCGAACCCCACACTTCACTGCCATATAATGCAGTTGGTTCTATTATTGATTCTAATATTTCCAGATCCTAATTGGTATGTCTAATTTGATAGATATTTTAATGGCATAGAGAGCCCTCCTTGCTTTGTCTTTCAGGTCATTCACGGCCAGGTTGAAGTTTCCTGTGGAGCAAATTTTTAGTCCCAAGTATGTGTAGGTGTGTGTGTTCTATAGGAGTGTTCCCGGTAAAAAAAAGTATATAGGTTTCCTTGACATCTGGACCTTTTCTGCAATATCATAATGTTTGAGATTGACTGTCAGTGCCCAGGTCTGACAGAACTTTTGCAGATGATCTAATTGTTGCTGTAGTACCTATTTTGTGGGTGACAGCAGTACCAGATTTTCTGTGTTAAGAATGAGACTGGGGGCTGTTGATTGCTCAAGCGTTTTGGCAAATTAATTTGTATAAATATGAAATAGACAAGTTGTTTCCATGTTTTACTCTGCGCCCTTGGGAAAATAAATCTGTATGTTTATCTCACATTCTGACTGCACATTTGTCACTTGTGTGCATTGATTTGATGACATTATATGTTTTTCCACCCACCACTTTCAATTAATTTGAGTAAAATGCCTACATGCCAAATTGAATCAAATAGTTTTTGGAAATCTACAAAGCAGGAGAAACATTGTTTTGTTTTGCATGTTTATCAATTAGGGTGAGTAGGGTATAAATATGGTCTGATGTTCAATAATTTGGTAGGAATCCAATTTAACTTTTGCTCAGGACATCATGTTCACTGAGAAAGTGTAGTAGTCTGCTGTTCATGAAGGCGCAGAATATTTTCCCCAGGTTGCAGTTGGCACAAATACCACGATAATTGTTTGGGTCAAATTTGGTGTAAAATTGGTGTTATTAGTCCTTGGTTCCAGATGCCAGGGAAACTGTCTTTCTCTCTGTGAGACACTACTGCATCTATAATGCTACATGAGGGTCATCTTAGCTTTCTATGCTCCCTTCTCCACCCCCTCTCTTTAGGTCCAGTGTACCATGATGGTTGTGACTGTCCTCAGCCCAGTGGTTCTGTGTGGAAGGAGGATATGCACTGCCCCGTGTCCTTCCCCCAGATAGAACAGGACCTGGCCCTGTTCCCCAGGGTGGACCCAGACCGCAATGCCCTGGAGGTGCCCCAGCGTTTCGGACAGAGACAGAGCCTCTGCCACTACACAATCAAAGACAACAAGGTTAATGGTAGACCAGGACTCATATTCAAAAATTATACCAGAGTGCTGATCTAGAATCAGGTACCCCCCCTCTCCATATAATCGTATTCATTATGATTCTAAAAAGCTAAACTGGTCCTATATCAGCCCTACTATTTCTGAATATGGGTAAAGGTTGAAGACACCAGAGCCACATGTTTTAGACACCAGGTAGTATTGGAAAGGCCCCCCAATAAGGCTAGAAGACAACGATTCATGGTACCTGTAATCATGCTATAACAGACAAACAGGTGTCAGTCAAAATGCAGCTTTGAATCTGACTATACAGGTGTCAGTCAAAATGTTGTAGATTTGAATCCAACTATACAGGTGTCAGTCCAAATGTTGTAGAGTTGAATCTGACTATACAGGTGTCAGTCCAAATGTTGTAGAGTTGAATCCGACTATACAGGTGTAAATCAAAATGCTGTAGAGTTGAATCTGACTATACTTATAAGCTTGGATTTGATACATCTCTAACACCCACTAACTGGATATGCTTCATCTCTTGCTTGAACCGTATTCCATATCCAAACTACAATAGGCATGTTCTGGATATATCCACTTTTCTTGTTTCCTTACACAATGCTGTGTTAACGCCACAATCCAGTGTGAGTGTGTGTCACTCGAGCGATGTCACACTGCCCTGGTAAGTGCCACTAGGTTTTATGCAGTGAGGTTGTGGTGAGCTGGTAAAGAGACGAGGTCAGCAGCAGTTCCCACTCACTACTGTGGTCATCTGGAATTACATACTAGCTCACTTGAATATACATCTACATAAATGTGAGCTTCCCAAGAGATGTTGATTATAAGATGTTGATACCATCACTGTTATGATTACAGCCAGTATTGACAATGTTATCAGAATTTTCTAACTTTTTTATCATGAACAATTTCTGTCCATCCAGGGGTGCTGCACTGCAGCTTGACCATGTGCTCGTCTCAACAGTGTGATATGTGCTGTCTGGGGGAGGGTTAAGAACAGAGCATAAGACCATTTTCCATTGTTTGCTGTAACACATGGACAATAAAGTTAATATTCTATTCTATATTTCCACCCTTAGGTCTACATTAAGACGCTAGGGGAGCATGTGGGATTCAGGATCTTCATGGATGCCTTCCTCCTCTCACTGACCAGAAAGGTGAGTTCTTGAAATTAAGTTAAAGGATTTGTCATAAGCATTGATTTAGGGAAAACTTTGCCACAGATTGAAACCACTGGCCTATCTTTGACTTCACCATCTATTGTTATCTCAAGATTTGGCATCTTCCATAAATTGTAGCCCCGAATCCACCATAGAAATAGTTAGAAAGAATAATCCTGTAATATGGATAACTATTGAAAGTTAGCCGATATGTGTTTTTCTACACTGTAATGGACACGGTGCAACCTTTGGTAGGTAAGCTGCGTGCAGGCTTCGGCTGCTGTACAGCAAAGCCAAGTCAACTCATGCTTATGGTTCTCACAGGGGAAGTGAAATGGTTTCAATGACTTTGCTCATGATCATGCACGCCGCAAATGACATGTAACTAAGTTCCTTGAATTTTATTTCACTTCTGGTTTCTAGTTTACGTTACACCAATCAAAGCAGTGGAGCGTGTAGTGAAGCAAAACTTTAGTGGTCAAAACCATTAATCTTGGGGCGACGGGGGAGTAGGTTTGAAAAATGCTATCATATCACAGAATAATACAATTTTGAAATAAGTTAACATTTACAAATGATCAAATGGATTATGAGGTGCAAAAACATAGGTTTGAACCCCCTATTTTAATTGCTCAGGTGGTGGACACAAGGCTGTTTGGCTCATCTCAGTTGCGAAGAGGAATAACTTTGCCGCTGTTTCTGATTTAATATTTTTTTTAATGACCATTTACTTTGGAATGAGGAAGTCCTTGTTGAGGCATAGCATTCACTATTGAAAGACAAATGCCCTCCAAGGCTGATCGGAAGGAGAGGTTTTGCTTGCACCAATCAGATTCCTTAGAATCTGCAATGACCGACATGGTGGGAGCTAATGGAAGGTGTTGGGGTTGATTCTAGGACAGGCCTGGGTTAGTTGTCCCAGTGGCCACTAGATGGCACTGCTGACCCATGAAGATGGCAGCCTATGGCATTTCTGTAAAGAATAAATGTGAACTTAATTTATAAAGGCTGGGTTATGTATCCGGGTATATATATATTTTTTATTTTATTTTTTTATATATATTTTTAAGCGTACAAAGAGCATATGTAGAACAGAGTAGAAGACACATTTCCGTTGTTCGCTGTAACATGGGCAATAAAGTTGTAATGTATTGTAGGTGATGTACGTTCTAAGCCCAGTGTCTTCTCTCTCACTCTTTCTCACTTTTTTTTTCTCTCTCTCTCTCCCTCTGTCTCTCACTCCCTCTGTCTCTCACTCCCTCTGTCTCCCTTCTCCTCTGTCTGTCTCTTCTCTCTGTCTTCTCTGTCTCTCTCTGTGTGTGTGTGGTCAGGTAGTGATGTATGTTCTAATGCCAGTGTCTCCTCTCTCTCTCTCACTGTGCGGTCAGGTGCGGGTCCCAGATATAGAGTTCTTTGTGAACCTGGGGGACTGGCCCCTGGAGAAGAGGAGGCCCTCAGAAAGGCTCCACCCCATCTTCTCCTGGTGCGGCTCCAACGACACACGCGACGTCGTTATGCCAACCTACGACCTCACCGAGTCAGTCCTGGAGACCATGGGAAGGCAAGCACCACTGTTGCTTTCCTCATTTTATCTTTGTGTGTCATCCATTATACAGAGGCCCAAGTGATGCTACAGCCACAAAAATGTTTTCCCATAATGTACTATTATGATAGCGTATTAGATTCAAAGGGAAATGTGAGCTGGACAAATAATATAATCCAAAATAGGATAGTGGGGCCCACACACTCAACTGGTTAGTGACAACATTTTAAAGAAAATTATCTTTATCAGGTCTGTGTGCTAGCCAATCGCATCTGTTGCTCATTTCGACTTACACGTTTCTCCTCCAATGAGCAGAGTGAGTCTGGACATGATGTCGGTCCAGGCCAATACGGGGCCTCCGTGGAGGGAGAAGAACGCCACAGCGTTCTGGAGGGGGCGGGACAGTCGCAAGGAGCGCCTGGAGCTGGTGAAGCTGGCCAGGGCTCACCCCGACATGGTGGATGCAGCCTTTACCAACTTCTTCTTCTTCAAACACGATGAGAGCCTCTACGGACCGCTGGTCAAACACGTCTCCTTCTTTGACTTCTTCAAGGTGAGATAGATGTGGTGTAGGCAGAAAAGGTATCCAGTCTTTGCAGATGAGACAGACTCACTCCCAGGCTAGCTGGATCATAAATTAGAGACCTCGCTGCTTTGGGGTAGGTAATGATAAAGTTTGGGTTGATTACTGATGTTATCAATATATTTAATTTATAAGTCCATAATTAGAAAATGCACACGTTGATCATTTTTACTCTCTTAACGGTGACATTTGACCATTTTATTTAATGGGGCAGATAATTGCTTGTAAAACAAAAAGAACAAGGGTTGAGACTTGTAAAAATGAGAGAACGGTTTGGAGGAGACTTTATGCCAGAGATAAATGAAAAAATAGTCGATTTTAATAGTTCACTTTACAAGGCAATTTACACATGGCAACGCATGGAAACGAGAGATCAGTAAAGTGCTTTCCAGTCATGAAGCCAACAAATAAAAACATTGCAGCCTGCAGGTAGAAAATATCCTGATAAAAATAAATATCCTATAAATCACATTGGCTACGCATGGCCTGTCTGCAACGAACTTGAAACATTGTATCAACTAACTTGGGTCCAGCCTGATGCTGGTGCTAGCAAACTTGCAACATTGTATAAAATATTCTGAGCCCTCAGAGTTTCCAGCTCCAGTGAGCTTGGGACAGACACAGCTGTAGGCTATTTTGCGCAAGGGATAAGAGCTCATCAGGTAGACCTATTTTCTGACGTTTCCACTGGATCAGAGCATGACATTTTTCCCTTTCACATTGAGTGGTTATCGAAAGGAGGAAGGCCCTAAAAATTGTCAAAGACTCCAGCCACCCTAGTCATTGACTGTTCTCTCTGCTACCGCATGGCAAGCAGTACCGGAGTGCCAAGTCTAGGTCCAAAAGGCTTCTTAACAGCTTTTACCACCAAGCCATAAGACTCCTGAACAGCTAATCATGGCTTCCCGGAATATTTGCATTGTCCCCCCCACCCCACCCCCTCTTTTACGCTGCTGCTACTCTCTGTTTATTATCTATACATAGTCACTTTAACTCTACCCACATTTTTTACTTATCTATTTTTTACTTAACAATTATTTTTCTTAAAACTCCATTGTTGGTTAAAGGCTTGTAAGTAAGCATTTCACTGTATGTGGCAAATAAAATTTGATTTGATTTGAAAGGGAGAAAGCTGGGAAGATCATTCAAATACATTGAGGAACTATTCTCATTGTAAAAACAGACTTCATTTGCTTGCTGTTTGAGGTGAAAACAACATTACTTTGAGTAGCTCCACAGCTCATTAGTGGTGGTGCATTAAGCCAATCAGAAATACTATCAGATCCCCAAATTGGCACATTTATATGCCTACATTTGCAGGCCAGGTAGCCTATAGCCTACTTCTATGCATAATCAGGTGTGCGTCTTTCCTTACACCTCGATCACACTGTTTGCGCTGTTCTGTGAAGGGAGTAGTACACAGCGTTGTACGAGATCTACAGTTTCTTGGCAATTTCTCGCATGGAATAGCCTTCATTTCTCAGAACAAGAATAGACTGACGAGTTTCAGAAGAAAGTTATTTGATTCTGGCCATTTTGAGCCTGTAATCGAACTCACAATTGCTGATGCTCCAGATAATCAACTAGTCTCAAGAAGGCCAGTTTTATTGCTTCTTTAATCAGCACAACAGTTTTCAGCTGTGCTAACATAATTGCAAAATGGTTTTCTAATGATCAATTAGCCTTTTAAAATGATAAACTTGGATTAGCAAACACAACATGCCATTGGAACACAGGACTGATGGTTGCTGATAATGGGCCTCTGTACGCCTATGTAGATATTCCATTAAAAATCAGCGATTTCCAGCTACAATAGTCATTTACAACATTAACAATGTCTACACTGTATTTCTGATCAATTTGATGTTGTTTTAATGGACAAAAAAATTGCTTATCTTTCGAAAACAAGGACATTTCTAAGTGACCCCAAACTTTTGAACGGTAGTGTATGTAATGGGGAATTGATAGACACTAACAATCAAGGCAAACAATTCACACAATGAAGTTATGAAACAATGAATGTGCACAAATCGGCGGGAGAGAGCGCATTGGAGAGAGACTTACATTGTGCATATTAGCTACACTCCCCTTCTTCTTGGACTGTGCCATCCACGCGGCCTCCGCAATGGATTAGTCTCAGCCTCTGCAATGGATTAGTTCACTGAGATGGCCGCGAATCAGACAGGTGTCTCGTGTGCCATTGAAAAATATGTATTTGCTACTGCTCGACAAAAAAAAAAGCTCAGTTGACCAACAGCCAATTGCCCAAACAATCAACCATTCGACTAATTGGGGTCAGCCCTACTGGATTTACAATCATTTAAAATTGAGATTCTCCATTGAGTTTGCTTTTTAGTCCAGGAATAGGCTTAATCTGTATCTGGTAAACCAGCCCTTTCAACCCCACAGGAAATGTGTCAGGAACAAGCATAAACACCCCAAAAGACTGATTTTAAAATGTAACTGAACACTCTTACCACCCCACCTCTGTCTCCTCTGACAGTATAAGTACCAGATCAACATAGATGGCACGGTGGCAGCCTACAGACTGCCCTACCTGCTGGCTGGGGACAGTGTGGTGCTGAAGCAGGACTCTGGTTACTATGAACACTTCTACAGCCAGCTCAGACCCTGGGTACACTACATCCCCATCAGAGCAGACCTGGCTGACCTGCAGGAGAAGATCCATTGGGCCCGTGAGCAAGATGAAGAGGTGATGATTGATGAATACGCTGTTGGATTTGTAATGTACTTCAAAGTTTCAAACATATTGCGGGAACATACAGTATGTAGGCACACATTTTCCCCATTCTGTTCAAAAGCTCAGTATGATCTCGCTCTTCCAGGCAAGAAAAATCGCAGTAGCCGGTCAACAATTTGCCCGAAATCATCTGATGGGGGACAGTATATTCTGTTACTACTACAAACTCTTCCAGGTAACATTTCACTTTACACTACGACTACATTGATTAACTCTATATACTCTGTATACACTCAAGATTCAGACCCCGTCGATCACAAGGCTGCACACTTCAGATTAGAGATGTATTTAGTAAGTAAGTTAAGAGTTTGCCTTTGTGGAGAAACTTGAGAACCTGGATAACTGAAGGTAGTAGGTACACCTGCAGGGCGGCAGGTAGCTTAGTGGTTAAGAGCGTTGTGCCAGTAACCGAAAGGTCGCTGGTTCTAATCCCCGAGCCGACTAGGTGAAAAATCTGTCGATGTGCCCTTGAGCAAGGCACTTAACCCTAATTGCTCCTGTAAGTCGCTCTGGATAAGAGCGTCTGCTAAATGACTAATTATTATTATTATTATTATTATAATTATTACACAGGGCTGTGGCGGTCATTACATTTTGTCAGCTGGTGATTGTCAAGCAAATAACTGCCGGTCTCACGGTAATTGACCTTTAATTAACATAAACACATTTAACATCTCCTGGCTTCCACGCATAGCCTACAAGCCACTGATGCAGACCTTTGGAACATCTACATTTTAAAAAGTCTAATAAATCCATGTAAAATAGCCTACACCATCACAATAAATCCATTATTTATTTTAGACAGGTCTAAAGAAACATGATATGAAGAAAATGTAGTCTATTTCAGAAGAACACAATAGCATACTCTGAGTTGTCCTTATGTTAGGTCCTGATCTGGCTATGGGCTACACTAGTTCATTTAGCAGACATGATTTGCTTAGAATTCCCATGGCATTATTTTATAGTATGAAGAATACAATTGAACATAGCTGAATAAAATAGAAATGATTTTTTTCTCCAAACAATTTGAGGGAGTGTGCACATGCGGCTATTCTGTGTTGAGCGGTTAACAAAGAAACAGGTACTCCTATATGCTTAATTTAGGAGTTATGTAACTTCAGTTGTGATACAAATGTTGGGCTATATGTTTTGATTTTTATACATTCTAAGGCTGCATGATGCGAATCTAATAAAAAAAGTTGCATGAAAGGCATGAGCTCTGCTTAGTTTTTTTGCGCAAGCTGTACACACTTCATCAGTCTCTCATTCACAATTTGATAATGCTTTGAATTTCCCGGCGGCATCCCCTTTGTGTGGCCGTAATGCCCCCTAAAAGAATCCATGCCTTTTGCGGCCTGTGGCCGTTGTGCCCTTGGGCTGAATATAATAATTATGATTCCCTTCTCCCGACTGCGCGCTCCGAAGCACCTCTCACTCACATGGCTCTCCGTCATGTGATCTGGTCTTTCTTACAGGCTATAAGTAAAGTCATACACATCGGGGACACAACTGCGCACATCCTTATCCAATTCCGAGGCACATATTGAAGATCTTGGAAGAACTGTCCACATTTACAGTGGGGGAAAAAAAGTATTTAGTCAGCCACCAATTGTGCAAGTTCTCCCACTTAAAAAGATGAGAGAGGCCTGTAATTTTCATCATAGGTACACGTCAACTATGACAGACAAAATTAGGAAAAAAAATCCAGAAAATCACATTTTAGGATTTTTTATGAATTTATTTGCAAATTATGGTGGAAAATAAGTATTTGGTCAATAACAAAAGTTTCTCAATACTTTGTTATATACCCTTTGTTGGCAATGACACAGGTCAAACGTTTTCTGTAAGTCTTCACAAGGTTTTCACACACTGTTGCTGGTATTTTGGCCCATTCCTCCATGCAGATCTCCTCTAGAGCAGTGATGTTTTGGGGCTGTCGCTGGGCAACACGGACTTTCAACTCCCTCCAAAAATTTTCTATGGGGTTGAGATCTGGAGACTGGCTAGGCCACTCCAGGACCTTGAAATGCTTCTTACGAAGCCACTCCTTCGTTGCCCGGGCGGTGTGTTTGGGATCATTGTCATGCTGAAAGACCCAGCCACGTTTCATCTTCAATGCCCTTGCTGATGGAAGGAGGTTTTCACTCAAAATCTCATGATACATGGCCCCATTCATTCTTTCCTTTACACGGATCAGTCGTCCTGGTCCCTTTGCAGAAAAACAGCCCCAAAGCATGATGTTTCCACCCCCATGCTTCACAGTAGGTATGGTGTTCTTTGGATGCAACTCGGCATTCTTTGTCCTCCAAACACGACGAGTTGAGTTTTTACCAAAAAGTTCTATTTTGGTTTCATCTGACCATATGACATTCTCCCAATCCTCTTCTTGATCATCCAAATGCACTCTAGCAAACTTCAGACGGGCCTGGACATGTACTGGCTTAAGCAGGGGGACACGTCTGGCACTGCAGGATTTGAGTCCCTGGCGGCGTAGTGTGTTACTGATGGTAGGCTTTGTTACTTTGGTCCCAGCTCTCTGCAGGTCATTCACTAGGTCCCCCCCGTGTGGTTCTGGGATTTTTGCTCACCGTTCTTGTGATCATTTTGACCCCACGGGGTGAGATCTTGCGGGGAGCCCCAGATCGAGGGAGATTATCAGTGGTCTTGTATGTCTTCCATTTCCTAATAATTGCTCCCACAGTTGATTTCTTCAAACCAAGCTGCTTACCTATTGCAGATTCAGTCTTCCCAGCCTGGTGCAGGTCTACAATTTTGTTTCTGGTGTCCTTTGACAGCTCTTTGGTCTTGGCCATAGTGGAGTTTGGAGTGTGACTGTTTGAGGTTGTGGACAGGTGTCTTTTATACTGATAACAAGTTCAAACAGGTGCCATTAATACAGGTAACGAGTGGAGGACAGAGGAGCCTCTTAAAGAAGAAGTTACAGGTCTGTGAGAGCCAGAAATCTTGCTTGTTTGTAGGTGACCAAATACTTATTTTCCACCATAATTTGCAAATAAATTCATTAAAAATCCTACAATGTGATTTTCTGGATTTTTTTTTCTCAATTTGTCTGTCATAGTTGACGTGTACCTATGATGAAAATTACAGGCCTCTCTCATCTTTTTAAGTGGGAGAACTTGCACAATTGGTGGCTGACTAAATACTTTTTTTCCCCACTGTACTTTTCATCAGCCAATAAAATGAGTAGGCCTAACGAACAGCAAAAGCACTAGCCTATGGCAATCTACTATCCCCCATAGTACAAAAGTTGACCTATTCTGTGTAAGAAAGAAATATTCCAAACATTGTCTGGGACAGTTGTGGGATGCGATAGATCCCAAATTAAAACAACCACTAGCATTAAAAAAAACTTTAAGTAATGAGGCTGACGCAACAGATCAGAACGTTTAACTTAAAATGTTGATAAACTATTAGGCTATTTCTTCACATAATAAGTGCAGCAATCCGCACACGGCAGTAGGCTATAAGCGTGAATGTTCCATTAGCAGGAAAACACCATTCTCAAAAGTGACTGAAGTTGCGATTATGCATTTAATGCTTTTATTATAAAGGTGCATTTTTATGGGGACAATTATCTTCCCCAAACTTGAAACTCCAGTTAGGCTCTACGCCCGTTGTAAAGCGGATTAATGTGCTTAATTTTAAGAAGTTATTTTGCCACTTTAGTTGTGATACAAACCTTATCAAAACATATAGGCCTATGGGCTAGGCTACATGAGGTGTGCGACTGATTTGAAAAAGTCGCAAAAAAAGGCGTGCTGTTTCTTGCCTTAAGCTGGGCATCATTCACAAGTGATAATATATAATTCACAAGTGATAGGCTAATATTGTCACCCATCAGACTATCCTTGATTTAATATTGTCTTTACTAAATAATATACAGTCGTGGTCAAAAGTTTTGAGAATGACACAAATATTAATTTTCACAAAGTCTGCTGCCTCCGTTTTTATGATGGCAATTTGCATATGCTCCAGAATGTTATGAAAAGTGATCAGATGAATTGCAATTAATTGCAAAGTCCCTCTTTGCCATGAAAATGAACTTAATCCCCCAAAAACATGTCCACTGCATTTCAGCCCTGCCACAAAAGGACCAGCTGACATCATGTCAGTGATTCTCTCGTTAACACAGGTGAGAGTGTTGACGAGGACAAGGCTGGAGATCACTCTGTCATGCTGATTGAGATAGAATAACAGACTGGAAGCTTTAAAAGGAGGGTGGTGCAAGAAATCATTGTTAACCATGGTTACCTGCAAGGAAACACGTGCCGTCATCATTGCTTTGCACAAAAAGGGCTTCACAGGCAAGGATATTGCTGCTAGTAGATTGCACCTAAATCAACCATTTATCGGATCATCAATAACTTCAAGGAGAGCGGTTCAATTGTTGTGAAGAATTCTTCAGGGCGCCCAAGAAAGTCCAGCAAGCGCCAGGACCGTCTCCTAAAGTTGATTCAGCTGGATTGGGGCACCACCAGTGCAGAGCTTGCTCAGGAATGGCAGCAGGCAGGTGTGAGTGCATCTGCACGCACAGTGAGGTGAAGACTTTTGGAGGATGGCCTGGTGTCAAGAAGGGCAGCGAGGAAGCCACCTCACTCCAGGAAAAACATCAGGGACAGACTGATATTCTGCAAAAGGTACAGGGATTGGACTGCTGAGGACTGGGGTAAAGTCATTTTCTCTGATGAATCCCCTTTCCGATTGTTTGGGGCATCCGGAAAAAAGCTTGTCCGGAGAAGACAAGGTGAGCGCTACCATCAGTCCTGTGTCATGCCAACAGTAAAGCATCCTGAGACAATTAATGTGTGGGGTTGCTTCTCAGCCAAGGGAGTGGGCTCACTCACAATTTTGCCTAAGAACACAGCCATGAATAAAGAATGGTACCAACACATCCTCCGAGAGCAACTTCTCCCAACCATCCAAGAACAGTTTGGTGACGAACAATGCCTTTTCCCGCATGATGGAGCACCTTGCCATAAGGCAAAAGTGATAACTAAGTGGCTCTGGGAACATAACATCAACATTTTGGGTCCATGGCCAGGAAACTCCCCAGACCTTAATCCCATTGAGAACTTGTGGTCAATCCTCAAGAGGTGGGTGGACAAACAAAACCCCACAAATTCTGACAAACTCCAAGAATTGATTATGCAAGAATGGGCTGCCATCAGTCAGGATGTGGCGCAGAAGTTAATTGACAGCATGCCAGGGCGGATTGCAGAAAAAATACATGTAATCTATGCACTTAAATAGCAAATGGAGGACGCTATTCCCGTGGTTCATTGTCATGCCAGCCAGGTAGGCTATACTCCTGTTGTAAAGAGAAGCAATGTGCTTAATATTAGGAAAGTTGAGAAATAAATATAGTAGGCCTAGCCTATAGAAAGCTGATGGGATTCTCCTCTTTTTAAGAGGCCATCAATCTGTTATCTCAGGCAATTGCATAGCCTATAGAAATGTTGCACAACATGAGCTCATATGCTCTCATGAAGTGTTTGATTAGATTTTTGAAAACATTTGCATTGATGTCAGAGTGATTAGAGGGACAATAGAGTGCTGAGTACCAGGCAGTTAGCAAGTTTGGTAGGCTACTAATGACCATCAGCAGCATCAGAGCTTGGAGAAGCCTAATTACCGTGACTAAACGGTCACCTGGAATTTGACTACCGTCATGACTCGTGACCGCCGGTGTAGCAGTAATACGGTCACCGTAACAGCCCTAGGTACATGCACTTGTTTCATTGTTGGTCCTAAAGAACTATGTGTTGAAAGTGTGGCTATTGTTTCATGCACCCTTGTTATCATCATCAGCAGCTTGCGTATCTCTTCTCTTATCTTCCCATCTCTACCTGTCACTTTTATACCCCCACTTCAAGGACAGTAATTACTCGTACAGAGGCCAGGTATTCCTAGGTCGGGCTACTCCTCAGCTATGACACTGTCACATCAGGGCTCGACCCTCAACTTCCACCTTATCACCTTGGCTTGGGCTAGGGTAGAATAGAAGGGCCCACCTATTGGAATGACACCTGGGCGGATGACCCCTGGCTAGAAAAGGGTGTCATGGAACCATTCCATGGTACGCCTCCAAAGAGTGAATTTAATTCAGCTTATTGAGTCCAAGCTAATAACATGATAACCAAGCTTCCCATCCATGCAACTGGGTCGTCATGGAAAGAACCGTGTCTGGCTGACAAGGAAGAAATGTTTTGGCAGTGGATCTTGTTTTGTGACTTCTCTGTCTTCGCACTGTCAACAGTGAGGTTTTGCATGCTCAGTTCAGACCCTACATGTGTTACTGTTTTATATTGGTGGTGTATGCTGACCTTGAAGAAGCAGTGGAGTCCCTTACAGCATGTGTACCTTCAACAGTTGCTTTGGCTTTGTTGGTTGTTTTCAATGTGGTTTTACATGTTCCTCAATTTGGATTGCCCCTAATGTTACTATCCTCCCTCCCAGCCCTTAAAAGAACATTCATTATAATATAGTAATGTTTCAGTCAAATGCAATACATGTTTATCAATGTCGGTTTTAATCATGAGAATATATATATATATATTTTTTTTTTACTGAAAACTATAGATGTAGCCTCGACGTACATTTTATTCATTTAAAAGACACTCTTATCCAGAGCGACTTACAGTAGTGAGTGCATACATTTTCATACTTTTTCATTCTGGTCCCCCGTGGGAATCGAACCCACAACTGGCGTTGCAAGCGCCTCGCTCTACCAACTGAGCCACACAGGATACAGATGGGAGATGGACGTTTTTTTCCCTTTGCACTATTTCAAACATAAAGAGTGTACCTGTGTGTTTCATTCAATGCCACATTAAAAACACAATGCTGAATCAGATGTGTTAACAAGAGCATGCACAACCTACAGCTCAGGACAAAGAGTGAAGAGCAGTAACCCGCTAAACCAAACCACCTCCACCTGCCTCCGGCCTTGGTCCACCTCTGAGCCCACAGGTCAGGTGGGTCATCGGGTATCATGAAGCGCCGTGGCGCAGCCCCTCCCTGTGTTTTCTCTGGGAAAGGAACACTGGCCCAGGGACATAATGGTGATGTGTCTCTCCCTGGAGTGCTTTATTGGAGCCCATAACCCAGCAGTTGCAGAAATTAATGTTTAAACTGACAACTTTCTGTCTTAACGAAAGATATCAGCCATAAAGATAGGTGTGTTTTATGAGGGATAGTGTTGGAGGTCAAAAAAGCTAGGACTACTTGTGTTCCTTGTTGGAAACCGAATGAATGTGCTCATTTTGCCTTCTCATCTTGTGTACATATTATAAATACAGTGGGGGGAAAAGTATTTAGTCAGCCACCAATTGTGCAAGTTCTCCCACTTAAAAAGATGAGAGAGGCCTGCAATTTTCATCATAGGTACACGTCAACTATGACAGACAAATTTGAGAGAAAAAAAATCCAGAAAATCACATTGTAGGATTTTTAATGAATTTATTTGCAAATTATGGTGGAAAATAAGTATTTGGTCAATAACAAACGTTTCTCAATACTTTGTTATATACCCTTTGTTGGCAATGACACAGGTCAAACGTTTTCTGTAAGTCTTCACAAGGTTTTCACACACTGTTGCTGGTATTTTGGCCCATTCCTCCATGCAGATCTCCTCTAGAGCAGTGATGTTTTGGGGCTGTCGCTGGGCAACACGGACTTTCAACTCCCTCCAAAGATTTTCTATGGGGTTGAGATCTGGAGACTGGCTAGGCCACTCCAGGACCTTGAAACGCTTCTTACGAAGCCACTCCTTCGTTGCCCGGGCGGTGTGTTTGGGATCATTGTCATGCTGAAAGACCCAGCCACGTTTCATCTTCAATGCCCTTGCTGATGGAAGGAGGTTTTCACTCAAAATCTCACGATACATGGCCCCATTCATTCTTTCCTTTACACGGATCAGTCGTCCTGGTCCCTTTGCAGAAAAACAGCCCCAAAGCATGATGTTTCCACCCCCATGCTTCACAGTAGGTATGGTGTTCTTTGGATGCAACTCAGCATTCTTTGTCCTCCAAACACGATGAGTTGAGTTTTTACCAAAAAGTTATATTTTGGTTTCATCTGACCATATGACATTCTCCCAATCCTCTTCTGGATCATCCAAATGCACTCTAGCAAACTTCAGACAGGCCTGGACATGTACTGGCTTAAGCAGGGGGACACGTCTGGCACTGCAGGATTTGAGTCCCTGGCGGCGTAGTGTGTTACTGATGGTAGGCTTTGTTACTTTGGTCCCAGCTCTCTGCAGGTCATTCACTAGGTCCCCCCGTGTGGTTCTGGGATTTTTGCTCACCGTTCTTGTGATCATTTTGACCCCACGGGGTGAGATCTTGCGGGGAGCCCCAGATCGAGGGAGATTATCAGTGGTCTTGTATGTCTTCCATTTCCTAATAATTGCTCCCACAGTTGATTTCTTCAAACCAAGCTGCTTACCTATTGCAGATTCAGTCTTCCCAGCCTGGTGCAGGACTACAATTTTGTTTCTGGTGTCCTTTGACAGCTCTTTGGTCTTGGCCATAGTGGAGTTTGGAGTGTGACTGTTTGAGGTTGTGGACAGGTGTCTTTTATACTGATAACAAGTTCAAACAGGTGCCATTAATACAGGTAACGAGTGGAGGACAGAGGAGCCTCTTAAAGAAGAAGTTACAGGTCTGTGAGAGCCAGAAATCTTGCTTTTTTGTAGGTGACCAAATACTTATTTTCCACCATAATTTGCAAATAAATTCATTAAAAATCCTACAATGTGATTTTCTGGATTTTTTTTTTCTCAATTTGTCTGTCATAGTATGACGAAAATTACAGGCCTCTCTCATCTTTTTAAGTGGGAGAACTTGCACAATTGGTGGCTGACTAAATACTTTTTTCCCCCACTTCTACTTTTCAGTTTATTGAGAAGTCATTGAAAACAGATGCCCTTCTTTCAATTATTGAACTGATATGCTTTCAATTCGAGTTGACCCCTACCCTGTTTCATAAATATGAATCTGAAGACCTAGTATGAAGTTGAACTTTTTTGTGTATCATTGTTTTGCTACTTGTATGACAGGATTGTGGGATATGTTATTTTTTTTTCATCTCCAAAATAGAACTAATATTTTGACACCTGTGAGTTATTATGGTAAGTAGTGAATGATGGGGCCATGACAGGGTGACATGACAAAGCGATCTGTTGTGTAGTGAAGTTTTCTTATTTTCATCGTCACTTCATCAACTTTAATATATATTTTTTTCCATGTTTCTCTTTTTTTCTGTTGACTAGGAGTATGCCAAGTTGCAGGTGACTGAGCCTAAGGTCAGAGAGGGCATGGAACGGGTCGAGCAGCCCACTGATGACCTCTTCCCATGCTCCTGCCACAGGATACCACAGGTAAGCGTCAAGACACAGGCTAATCTCTATTACAGCATGTAGGGAGGAAAAAAAGGATTGCACAAGGGATTGCATAATATCTCTGATCCCACTGCAGTCAACCATGAACTGGGCTCTCAGTGTTTTGACAACAGGAGATTCTGATATATGATAGAGCTGGGACTATAAACCGAAAATTATTGGCAAATCAAATGTTATTTGTCAAATGCTTCATAGACAACCGGTGTAGACTAACAGTGAAATGCCACCTAAACAGGCTGAAATTCCAGACGTAAAAAAAAAAGCTCTTACACTAAAAGGGCATTAACATTTTCACAATTTCAGAGTGTTATTTCGACCCCATAGTGTACAAAAAACGAATACTAAAAATAATAAAGCAAAAATCACATTTTTGACTGCACTGCTCCTTTAATGTTATAAACTTAGCATACTATTCTTCTGAATTGATCAATTCAGGCAATTTATTGCGATATGGATTTTTGTCCATATTGCCCAACTCTAATACAGTATATGATCATCTGCCCCCTATGTCTACAATGCTAAAGGAATGTCCCCGCCAGTGTCTTTTTACAGGCTGCTGTCTGTCAAAGTTGACATGAAAACAGATCTTTGGCAAAGGGATATCCAATCAACTGATTGCGTTGCATTCATATAATACATTTTACAAAATGCATTTGCCACAAAGAGCTACCCCCCCCCCCCCCCCCCCCCCAAAGAGCAAGCCAACCACTGAAGGAGCTGCCAAGATATGTTAGAATTTTAACCTAATGTGATATTATACAGTGTTGAATGTGTCTTTACAGGAGCAGCATTGTCATACTTTCACTGGAGAAATTTTTTTGTAAAGTAAATGTATGAAAATAACCTAAGCTGGTTTTATATAAATCCAAACGTATCATAAATGTTATGTTGCAAATAACACACTACTCTAGCAATCTTTTAAAGTCTTTTTTTGTAATACACATGCGCATGGATCAAAGATTCCAAGGGAACAGATGTATTGTATTGAATAGGAAAAGCTTTATGGCATTGCATGGTTTTTATAACCCTGTCGTGCATATGAAGTTTGACAGATTTTTTTATGTTTGCTTTTCAGGCCAAGGATGAATTATGATTGGTCCACTGTTCAATTATAAAACAATTGCATTTTTATCTGATGTTCCTGTGTTGTAAAATTTTGTTTTTGCCAAAATGTGAATTGTGGGCTTGTCATGTTTATAATAAATATTTTTTCATTGTTTGTATGTTAACACTTGTTGTGTTCTTTTCTTCCTTCAATATATGCACAAACCATATCAAAGGTTCAAGTTATACACAATAGAGGCATGTAAAGACAAAAACACAGATGTTAGTTGATTATATGGTAGACTCATTGCATTGTTTTCCTTGTTAGATTTCCATGTAATAGCCCTATAGACTTGCTGTACTGATAGCTTTAGGGAAATGGGCAAAGTGCCTTTGTTATATCAACTCTCTGGCAGTAGTCTACATCCTATGAGGCATATTTAAAGTAATAAAGCAAGACCTGACCTTGGAAATGTATTTGTCACTCCACACACACACTGGCTAGACCAGTGTGTGTAGTTGGGAGGGTTATTGCTCATAGCTCGAAGTCATGTCACTGTCGGCCAGGGAGCTAGGAAAAATTAATAATGAAATACATGTTGTGTACTAAAATCGTAGTATACATTAGCCTGTATACTGAGTTTCCAACCATTTTATGATAGTCAAATAATTTCTCCCAAATCATCTATTTTAGATTGTGTGGTACCATCGACTCCAGTACACTAGATGGCGTCTTATGAATAGTTTACAGTGAAGTTGAGAAGTCATGAGATTTAGAAGAAACTACGCGGGATAAACAAATGGCAGCATGGAAACGATTCAAGAGGTAAAATGTTTGTTGACAATTGATACGAGTCATACAGTTGATATAAGTATCGGATAGGTTACCTGGTCAAGTTTAAATGACTCACTAAGTCGAATTATTTTGCAGGACAGCATGACAATACCTTTTGGGGCAAAACATCTAGTTGCTGTGTTGAGTATCCCCGCCAATTCCAGTGATGTGCAGACTGCTGTCATCCTGACTCACGGGGCTGGTGGGGACATGAACTTCAAACATTTGGTTTCTCTTGCTCATGCACTCTCATCGAATGGCCTGCTATGTCTTCGCTTCACATGTAAAGGTTTAAACCTGGTTTACAGAGTGAAGGCTTACCATGCCGTTTGGGTAAGAATAATTTTTGAAATCCAGATTTGTGCATGTTTCTTTCTATAGACATTGTGAAGAAAGAATAGCGAGTCATAAAAAGCCTTGTCTTTAGTTGGCTATGAAAATCTAATCTAGTTTCTTCACTGAATGCAAGTGTGCCATTAATGGAAATATCCTGTTTTATTTTGCAGGAATACTTGAAAAATCTTGAGAAATTCACAATAAGAAACATATTTCTTGGTGGTAAGCAATCAAAACTATTTTATAACCTCAATTAAATCTCATAATTGGCCTTATGTATTTCCCAGTGATAATGAGCCATGCTAGGGGTTTATGCTTACATAACAAATACAATTGCATAATTATGAAAGATCCTTGCTCAATGTTTATCTGCACATACAGTGCATTCGGAAAGTATTCAGACCCTTTTTTCCACATTTTGTTACATTAGTCTTATTCTAAAATTTATTAAATTATTATTTTTCCTCATCAATCTACATACAATACCCCATAATAACAAAGTGAAAACAGTTTTTTAGAATCCTTTGCAAATGTATTACAAACAAAAAAACAGAAACCTTATTTACTTAAGTATTCAGACCCTTTGCTATGAGATTTGAAATTGAGCTCAAGTGCATCCTGTTTCCATTGATCATCCTTGAGATGTTTCTACAGCTTGATTGGAGTCCACCTGTGATACATTCAATTGATTGGACATGATTTGGAAAGGCACACACCTGTCTATATAAGGTCCCACAGTTGACAGTGCATATCAGATCAAAAACCAAGCCATGAGGTCGAAGGAATTGTCCGTAGAGCTCCAAGACAGGATTGTGTTGAGGCACAGATCTGGAGAAGGTTAGCAAAAATGTCTGCAGTATTGAAGGTCCCCAAGAGCACAGTGGCCTCCATCATTCTTAAATGGAGGAAGTTTGGAACCACCAAGACTCTTCCAAGAGCTGGCCGTCCGGCCAAACTGAGCAATCGGGGGAGAAGGGCCTTGGTCAGGAAGGTGACCAAGATCCCGATGGTCACTCTGACAGAGCTCCAGAGTTCCTCTGTGGAGATGGGAGAACCTTCCAGAAGGACAACCATCTTTGCAGCACTCCACCAATCAGGCTTTTATGGTAGTGTGTCCAGACGGAAGCCACTCCTCAGTAAAATGCACATGACAGCCCTCTTGGAGTTTGCCAAAAGGCACCTAAAGACTCTCGGACCATGAGAAACAAGATTCTCTGGTCTGATGAAACCAAGATTGAACTCTTTGGCCTGAATGCCAAGCGTCACGTCTGGAGGAAACCTGGCACCATCACTACGGTGAAGCATGGTGGTGGCAGCATCGTGCTGTGGGGATGTTTTTCAGTGGCAGGAACTGGGAGACTAGTCAGGATCAAGGGAAAGATTAACTTAGCAAAGTACAGGGAGAAACTTGATGAAAACCTGCTCCAGAGCACTCATGACCTCAGAATGGGGCGAAGGTTCACCTTCCAACAGGACAACAACCCTAAGCACACTGCCAAGACAACGCAGGAGTGGCTTCAGGACAAGTCTCTGAATGTCATTGAGTGGCCCAGCCAGAGCCCAGACTTGAACCCGATTGAACATCTCTGGAGAGACCTGAAAATAGCTGTGCAGCGACGCTCCCCATCCAACCTGACAGACCTTGAGAGGATCTGCAGAGAAGAATGGGAGAAACTCACCAAATACAGGTGTGCCAAGCTTGTAGCGTCATACCCAAGAAGACTTGAGGCTGTAATCGCTGACAAAGGTGCTTCAACAAAGTACTGAGTAAAGGGTCTGAATACTTTTTGCTGAAATCTCTATAAAACGGTCTTTGCTTTGTCATAATGGGGTATTGTGTGTAGATTGATGAGGAAAAAAATAACAATTTAATCAATTTTAGAATAAGGCTGTAACGTAACAAAATGTGGAAAAAATGGTCAAGGGGTCTGAAAACTTTCCAAATGCACTGTAGCTCTCTACTGTATCTCCAACCCCTTGCCCAGACAGTGGCCCTCCTCACCAGGGTCCTCATTAGCTTCTATACCAATGATTTATATATACACTAGATGTCTCTCAATGGCCAATAAATAGCATCTGCAATCCAGGGTATATATTCATAATTGTTCTATACCCACAGTCATAAATCACACCTATTTTTAAAATGTATCTTATTAAAATTTGATTTTAAACCTAACCTTAACCACACTGCTAACCTTAAATACTTTTTTTTTTGTTGCCAATTTTGACTTTGTGGCTGTGGAATCTGACTTTGTGGCTATAGAAGCTAGTGGAAACCCCTCACCAGGGAAATATTCTGAGTATTGGTGGTTACTGGGGCCATTAGTATTGAGCAGTGTTAATTGATCCATAAACTAGTTATTCTTAAGCAATCACTTCCAAGACAGATATAATACTCACTGTGTACCCTCCACTTCAGGCCGTTCTATGGGGTCTCGTGCTGCCTCTTCCCTGGCCAGGCAGCTCAGTGGTGGCTCAGAGGATGCAGTGCAGGGACTGGTCTGTCTGTCCTTTCCCCTACACCCTCCAGGACTGACACACACCCATCGCCAGCGGAGTGAGGACCTCAGGGGGCTGCCCAAGGAGGTGCCTGTGCTGTTTCTGTCTGGTACTGCAGACAACATGTGTGAGAAGGTGAGAATGGTGATGGGTGTCTGGACAATGCATTCACAGAAACCATTCAAGTTTGCACATGCACATCTCCATTTTTTTTATTATGCATGTGCTTTACTTCAAACTGATTACGTCTCTTCCTTATAATGAAACCATTAAAGTTTGCACATTCATCTCTCTTTTTTGATTGTGTATGTTATTTTATTATTTCAAACTGATGGGCTGGAAGAAACATTATTTCTGGTCCCAATTTTGTTTTGCACTGATAATTCTTCCTGTGTCCAGATCCTTCTGGATGATGTGTTAAAGGAGATGAAGTCTCCAGTGACTGTTCACTGGATTGAAGGAGGCAGCCATGGGCTTACAGTGAAGGGAAGGGCTGAGGAGTCTGTGATGGATGAAGTCAACGCGCATGTCATATCATGGATTTTGGAACATACTTGAAGCTACCTGACTCTTGCTATGCTCAACTTTTTTTTTTTTTAGCTCCACACATTCTGTATAATTTTGTCATTCAGTTTGATGAATTCATGTGTTTATGTTGGTGTGGTTATGATGTGGATTAAATCTATACTTTTATAATACCAGAGATAGTATTTGTTTTATTTTGGGTAAGGTATTGGCAATGAATAATACAGCCTGCTGGTTGCTTCTCTGAAACAGAGCTGTGTGCCGAGCTGCAACTGTACCTTTAAAGCCTGGTGATGACGTTTCTATTTCCTTGATTCTAATTGGCTAGCTTTAACTTCCTTGGTTTGCGTTGAAATGGAAGCGAGCATGGCTGAAGAACCGTGGAATAAAGTAAACATTCCCTTTCCAAGTGCGGTTTCAACTGTCCATATACCATTCGGTCTCTCAACAGGTATGTAGTTTATCAAATTTCTGCATAAACTTTTTGGCGCGTCCTTTTGCTGTGTAATAAGAGCCACATTAGCTAACGGAAACTAGCCCTGCTGCAGACTACATCAAGCTACGGTACACACGTGGGGAGTGTTCTGACTTATGCCAGAGAAAATTGCTCTTGGTCTTGCTCTGTAAAAGTTAGGCTAACTAGATAAAAACTATTTACATCACAAATGTGCGGTGTTTGTTTACTGCTTTTTCATGCGTGTGTGTACTGTGCATTGTATCCTTGTAATAGGTACATATGTAAAACGTGTCCTGGAGGAAAATGAGAAAGTGCTCAAGTTGCTTGGCAGTCGAGTCCTGCAGACTGAGATCCGTGTCCTGTACGAGCTTCTCTATGTTCTCAATAACAGTCTCCGGCAACACAAGCCTTTCAGGATTCTCAAACAGGTGAGTATCAAGAAAAAGGCCTACATTACCTGACCATTTATTATTGTTATTTTTACCAACCTAGTAACTAAGTTATAGCCTATTATGAAATAACTTTACAAAATATTGTATTTTCAGACCATTATTACTAGGCTACTGTTCCAGCTGATAGGCCTTATTAGTTATGTAATGTTAAGCGTAGCACAGAGAATGTTCAATGAGATCAGATTTGGAATAGACAAGTTTGCGGCGTGCACATTGTTGGATTACTTCAGGGAGAAAAAATATATTTAATATAATAATGGAGCATTTTCTAAATTCAATCAAACCCCCTGCAACCAGACGTGGACGTTTAGAAGATTTGTGTTGACTTCCAAGTTGGGAATTGAGTATCACCAATTAAAAAGTAACTTTCATGATTTAAAAAATATAATCATCATCGAAAAGCATATGTTTTAGGCTTAGTTATAGTGAAACAAGTCAAATCTGGTCTTATAACAGTTCGTTGCAAAAGTGATATTTTGGTATTTTAGTAGTAAATCTAGCTCTTTTTGAGCCTATTGGTTCAATTCTACCATTGAAGTCGTGATGTAGAGGCCTTTATGTCATCTCAAAGGAGCGGTTCGGTATGAAATACACTCCCTTCTAGATGTGCTGGGTGGTACCACCTCAAGGCTTACTATAAAAGCAGGTGACGGTGTGCCTTATTTGACAATGGTCTTGACTAGACTACTGATATTACACACAATTCAAAAGGTAGTAAGGCATTTCCGCATTTGACCAAATTCAATGTTTTTGCTTACTGTTTCATACACATCTATATTGCTTTTACGAAAGAAAGAAAACATGTAGGCAATGAGGATTATACGTTTTATATTCGTAGCTATATCCATTGTAACAAGAAGTAGATGTCAACCTGTTGTATTTTGTCCTCAACTGTTATGACTGATTGGTGGCGCAGTCTGCTAAAACTGTTGGCTCATAGTTCAATGGTTGTGAGTTCTAATACCACATCGGGCATATAAATCCTTTATTTACAATATTCATCCTGTGTCCACACACTTCTAATTCTGAAAAGTGAAAGCATAGGCCTACCTGTGAGAGGGCTTGCCCCTGGTAGTAGTTGCTACCAGCTCTCACGTCAGAATTAGACGTTAAACATCCATGTTTCTCAAACGTCAAATTTCGAAGTCTTTTAAGGTTAAGTTTAGGCATTAACTACAAATTCTCAAGGTTAGGCATTAACTGCAAATGGTTAAGGTAAGGGTTAAGGTTTGAGATATGCTTAAAAAAAAAGAATATCAAAGCAACGTTCTGTCGCTGGATTCGAACTTGCAACCTTTGGAATTGGAGGCAGGTGCTTACACCCATCCCGTCCACAAAACCCTAGCAAAACTGAAAGCTCACTGTTGCCCGTAGTGGCTGGTTTCCACGTCATCTCCTGACGTCCTCAGACATGGATGGACATCGAATACTGACATTACCCAAGAGTTAATTTGACCATTGGAAAAAGAGCTACTGCTTAAATGCTACAAAGTGACATGGATTGAATTGAGCCCCTAATCTTAATTTTCGAGGCAATTATTGCACTTTTCTCCCCAACACAATACTGCAATAAATGTGAATCCACATTTCAAAGATTATTTTGGCAGCGCATGGGGGATTCAAACTTACACCGCAAGTGGCAATAGATGTCAGGAATTCGGCGCCTTACCACTGTGAGCTAACTGTCCAGAGCTGTACTTGTTCGTGATGCACAGAATATTATCAGAGCATGCCCAAAGATGTTCATAACTAATCCAATGGGAACAAATGTTTCCAATGCAAACAAATTAGTAATAATGGGCAGAACAAGCAAGGAGGGGGGCAGAGCCAAGAACGAGCTAGCGAGATCCTATTTGCTCATTCTAGCATGTATTTGCATATTTCTGTTAGGGAACGCCTACTTTGGGAAGTGCGTGTGTGCAAAAACTCAATTCGCCCTTGCACTCCTTCTAAACAACACCATTTTTGGAAGCTTTGGCAAAGGGTAAAGTCTACAAAACTTAGTCCACTCTGTTCGTAACATATTTTAGTTTTGGGAACAGAGAACTGTATTGAGATCAAATGTTTCATCGATGTGAACATTTGCAGAATGTCGGACAAAATCCATCTCGTTCCATCTTCTCCCATTGCCGGCCACTGAGCTTCCGCTCACCACCATATTTGGTAGTGAGTGGAAACGCCAAGCGGATGCTTCACATTTATACATCCGGTGGAATACAGTATCTGTCTCATTGTTCTATTTGTGGTGTGCCAGTGGACTTCTGGTACGTATACTTTAGTGAGAAAGTGTTGGGATCAGGTACAACGATGTTTACCCACCCCTAAAATGAATATTTATGAGCAATTCCCCCCACCCACAACTTCTCATCTGAATGCATATTTTTTTACAATTTGAAAGGGTTGGGCAAAGGTTGAAATTGGGGTTGAGAGTAGGGCTGTTGCGGTGACTGTATTACCGCCACACTGGCATTCACAAGTCATGACCCCAGTAAAATTCCATGTGACTGTTGAGTCACGGTAATCTTCTCTTATGCACTCTGGACATGCTTTGATAGTACCCAACTTGCTAATGACTATCAGGTCGCTAGTGGCCTGGTACTCAGGGCTCTATTGTCCCTCTAACCACTCTGACATCAATGCAAATGAAATCAAAAATCACATCAAACCCTTATCATCAAAACCGTATCCTGCTTTTAAAACTCACCTCACTATGATGATCAATTTGAAGAAGGAAGTTCAACAGCAGGTTGAAACCGAGTGTAAACCATGGTCATTGTGGATGTTGTTTCAAAGCCTAACACATCGAAATGGACAGCGCATTCGAAGGTGATGACTAATTCAAAACACCCATACACATATTAGAGCTTACGCATGCGCATAGGCTTATGAGCCAAAGCCCCCCCCCCAAAAAAACTGAATAGAAATAGCCTACTACATATTACGCATGGCAGAAAAACATCAAACAAAACTGATTTAAGATGTCTTTGGTACATAATTGGTCTATCTTATATTCCAAAATTAAACAAATTAGAGTAATCGCCTTTGAGTGTGGACTATATTATTATGCATACTGGATGGACTGGTTACCTTATGCTACGCTCCAAAATGTCTATCCATGAGTCTGGGAAAGAACGTATAGCCGTAGGCGATGCTGTTGGTTCATTGATTGTGCAGGGCGGCTTACAGGTAGCTTACGATTATAGTGAATGTCTATTTGATTTTGAATAGCCTAGTAATAGTGATTTATTTTCATAATTAATTGGGTGGCACATTACCTTTAGCTATACAGAATATCTCACCACCATGCTTTCCATCTCCTCCTCTCTCTTCTTTATTCATTTCTCAAGCGTGCAGTGTCTCGAGCGTGCAGACGGGCTGTTACTATCGATGTTCCCGAACTCATTTCACTTGGTTTCACAAATGTAAGCAATGGATAACTGTAGGAACAGGGTTGGAGAGCCCATGGCATACAGTGTTTTTACATGTAGTTTTTTCCTCTGTTCCTGCCCATTTGATAATGGGCCATTCTAAATCTGAGAATAATCTGATGGGTGAAAATATGATCACTTGAGAGAACAGCTGTGCAGCCTGAGGCAAGGACAGAGTGCAAGCTTTTTTTGTGACTTTCTCAAATCATCAATAACCTATAGTTGCATCATGCAGCCCATACAGTGGGGAAAAAAAGTATTTAGTCAGCCACCAATTGTGCAAGTTCTCCCACTTAAAAAGATGAGAGCCCTGTAATTTATCATAGGTACACGTCAACTATGACAGACAAATTGAAGGGAAAAAATCCAGAAAATCACATTGTAGGATTTTTAATGAATTTATTTGCAAATTATGGTAGAAAATAAGTATTTGGTCACCTACAAACAAGCAAGATTTCTGGCTCTCACAGACCTGTAACTTCTTCTTTAAGAGGCTCCTCTGTCCTCCACTCGTTACCTGTATTAATGGCACCTGTTTGAACTTATCAGTATAAAAGACACCTGTCCACAACCTCAAACAGTCACACTCCAAACTCCACTATGGCCAAGACCAAAGAGCTGTCAAAGGACACCAGAAACTAAATTGTAGACCTGCACCAGGCTGGGAAGACTGAATCTGCAATAGGTAAGCAGCTTGGTTTGAATAAATCAACTGTGGGAGCAATTATTAGGAAATGGAAGACATACAAGACCACTGATAATCTCCCTCGATCTGGGGCTCCACGCAAGATCTCACCCTGTGGGGTCAAAATGATCACAAGATCGGTGAGCAAAAATCCCAGAACCATACGGGGGGACCTAGTGAATGACCTGCAGAGAGCTGGGACCAAAGTAACAAAGCCTACCATCAGTAACACACTACGCCGCCAGGGACTCAAATCCTGCAGTGCCAGACGTGTCCCCCTGCTTAAGCCAGTACATGTCCAGGCCCGTCTGAAGTTTGCTAGAGTGCATTTGGATGATCCAGAAGAGGATTGGGAGAATGTCATATGGTCAGATGAAACCAAAATAGAACTTTTTGGTAAAAACTCAACTCGTCGTGTTTGGAGGACAAAGAATGCTGAGTTGCATCCAAAGAACGCCATACCTACTGTGAAGCATGGGGGTGGAAACATCATGCTTTGGGGCTGTTTTTCTGCAAAGGGACCAGGACGACTGATCCGTGTAAAGGAAAGAATGAATGGGGCCATGTATCGTGAGATTTTGAGTGAAAACCTCCTTCCATCAGCAAGGGCATTGAAGATGAAACGTGGCTGGGTCTTTCAGCATGACAATGATCCCAAACACACCGCCCGGGCAACGAAGGAGTGGCTTCGTAAGAAGCATTTCAAGGTCCTGGAGTGGCCTAGCCAGTCTCCAGATCTCAACCCCATAGAAAATCTTGGGAGGGAGTTGAAAGTCCGTGTTGCCCAGCGACAGCCCCAAAACATCACTGCTCTAGAGGAGATCTGCATGGAGGAATGGGCCAAAATACCAGCAACAGTGTGTGAAAACCTTGTGAAGACTTACAGAAAACGTTTGACCTGTGTCATTGCCAACAAAGGGTATATAACAAAGTATTGAGAAACTTTTGTTATTGACCAAATACTTATTTTCCACCATAATTTGCAAATAAATTCATAAAAAATCCTACAATGTGATTGTCTGGATTTATTTTTCTAATTTTGTCTGTCATAGTTGGCGTGTACCTATGATGAAAATTACAGGCCTCTATCTTTTTAAGTGGGAGAACTTGCACAATTGGTGGCTGACTAAATACTTTTTTCCCCCACTGTATGTTTTGATTTCTAAGACTTTCTAAGGTTTGTATCATTCACAACTAAAGCTGCCAAAACTAACTCTAGCGTATAGGACCTGTTTCAAATTATCACTTTTATGCTCAACAAAGCCACTTCATATTCAGACTCGCTCCAGAATGGGAAAAATATCCTTTCTATTTTATTCAACTAAGTTCAATTATATTCCTCTTACTATAAAATCATATACTGAACAATAATATATACCCAACATGTAAAGTGTTTCATGAGCTGAAATAAAAGATCCCAGAATTTTTCCATACGCACAAAAAGTTTGTTTACATTCCTGTTAGTGAACGTTTCTCCTTTGCGAAGATAATCCATCCACCTGACAGGTGTGGCATATCAAGAAGCTGATTAAACAGCATGATCGTTACACAGGGGCACTTTGTGCTGGGGACAATAAAAGGCCACTCTAAAATGTGCAGTTTTGTCACACAACACAATTGGCATGCTGACTGCAGGAATGTCCACCAGAGCTGTTGCCAGAGAATTTATTGTTAATTTCTCTACCATAACCTGCCTCCAACGTCGTTTTAGAGAATTTGGCAGTACGTCAAACCGGCCTGAAAACTGCAGACCACGTGTAACCACACCAGGCCAGGACCTCCACATCCGGCTTCTTCTCCTGCGGGATCGTCTGTAATTTCTGTCCGTAATAAAGCCCTTTTGTGGCTCCCCAGTGGGTGGGCCTATGTCTTCCCAGGCCCACCCTTGGCTGCGCTCCTGCCCAGTCATGTGAAATCCATAGATGAGGGCCTAATTAATTTATTTCAATTGACTGATTTCCTTTATATGAACTGTAACTCAATAAAATCGTTGAAATTGTTGCATGTTGCGTTAAAAATTTTTGTTCAGTATAAAATAATGGCACAGGACTTATAATCATATCTTGTCAGCTAAATGAACAAGCCTATAGCCTATGCCATACAGCATAGCCATATAACATACAGTAGGCCAACTCATATTCTGTTCTTCAGAAATACATTTTCTTCATATCATGTTTCTTTAGGCATTAACTCCAAATAATGGATTTATTGTGATGGTGTATATTCAATTTATTTATTCCACTTTTTTAAAATGTAGATGTTCCAAAGGCACCCATCAGCGGTGTGGAGGCCGGGGGATGATAAATGTGTTTATGTTAATTAATGGTAAATTACCGTGAGACCGGCATGACAATAACCGGCTGACAATTTTGTGACTGCCACAGCCCTAGTTGAGAGTTACCCTTTAAAGGTTGTTTGAAAATGCTCTGTGCTACACTTACATTACCTACCTAATGACACCTATCAGCAGCTGGAACAGTAATAATGGTCTGACTAGGCAATATTGTTAATAGCTAATTAGGATACAGTTTAGAAAAGATCCACGTTGGAAGAATCAAGATCACCAGTGTGCTGGGTGTTTTTCTCTTTTTCAGGCTACAGTGAGATGAGACCAATTGTTATTGATTGATGTAGAGCAGGGGTGTCAATGTTTTTTTTATATTATGTTTTTGTGTGTAGGAAAACAAACTCAATATACTTTAAAATGACTAAAACTAAATCGGAACTGTGCAGAAATGATAATTGACCTACATTAATACAGTTTCTTGACTGTGTCCAGCTTGCTAATAATCACTGAAATGAAAGGTAGACATTTAGGGAGCATCGGAAATTCCCAAAAAAGATGGACTGAATTTTGACGGCAAGGAAATGTAACAGATTTTCAGTTAGGCCCTCCGGCCTCTAGGCAGGGCTGCCAGGTTAATCTGAACTATAGAAGTGATTGATTGTGTATGGGTAAGACATGTTTTTTTCAGAAAACATTATTGTGAAATTGTGTTAATACAAGTCACATAGCTCTAAAATAATGTTATTTTCAACTACAGTATAAAAATAGCTTTTTGTCAATTCATGTGTGGCTGCAGCCTGATGTCCCAGTCATCCATCCCTCTGGAGCAAGATGGAAAGGAAAGAGAGAGGGGAGATCCATCATCAAGAGTTTTTTATTCTACTATTAATCAATCACTACTATTCTAATTTGTTAGTCAGTAATGGAGTTAATCGGTTCATCTCTGCGTGACACTCTCTCCTCTGACTTCAACTTCCTGGCCAACGTTAGCTAGCTAGCTAGCTTGCTACATACAGGGCTTGAGACTAACTTTTTTAATCACCGTCCCGAAGTGTAATTTAATCCGTCCCATACATTTTAAATATCTATATTTAAATATATAATTAATGTTTGACAATAATTTATGATAATTAACGTCTAAAGGCTTGACATACTCGAGGCTGTTCGTTCAGATCAAATGGTCATGAGCGGAGGAAAGGCCAGTGCCCACATTTTATAGACACAATCCTAGTCATATTAGCAACCCTTGCTAGTTGTTGCATCTTTCTAAATTTCTAAAGGATATTTTGATCTCTGTCACAAGAAACCGCTCGCATGTGCCTTGCGCTTTTTAGAACGCTCTTCCCTCTTAATTGCGTTTTGGAGCGTTCGCGCGTAGTCTACTGCCGTGTGCGTATTGCTGCGCATATAATGTGAAGAAATAATAGTTTATCAACATTTTAAGCTAAACGTTCAGATCCTTTGCATTAGCCTCATTGTGTCCCAGAACTGGCCCAGAGTCTGTTTGAACCATCACGATCATATTTTTTTATCGTTGACGGGATGCCCTTTAATTTTGAGCCCTGGCTACATACCCAGAGAGACGGTACATCTTTCGATCCTCTCTCCCTCTCTCTGAAACTGTTGGATGATTATTTCTCAGTTTCTCTCTCTCGGTGTGATGGGTCTAGTATGCTAATGATTGGTAGGACTGGGGAAGGTCAGAATACAATGAAATAGTAGGCAAACAAGAATTATGTAGCTAGCTAGTGCTAGTTAATTTGTTTGTTGTTCTCACATCACTTGTCATGACTGCCTGCTGCAGCGCTCTCTCAACACCAGTGACTGTGCTCAACACACACACACCTCTGGCCCTCCCCCTCCCTCCCTCCCTCCCTCCCCACCACTCACTCACTCACTCACTCACTCACTCACTCAGCAACAGACTGCCTGATAGTCAGCAGGAGCAGGTCACAGTGAGATGTATATGTGTGTGTGTAGATACAGTGCCTTCGGAAAGTATTCAGACCCCTTGACTTTTTCCACATTTTGTTAGGTTACAGCCTTATTCTAAAATTTATTAAATCGTTTTTTCCCCTCGTTTGATCGGGTTCAAGTCCGGGCTCTGGCTGGGCAACTCAAGGACATTGAGACTTGTCCCGAAGCCACTCCTGCGTTGTCTTGGCTGTGTGCTTAGGGTCGTTGTCTTGTTGGAAGGTGAACCTTCACCCCATTCTGAGGTCATGAGTGCTCTGGAGCAGGATTTCATTAAGGATCTCTCTGTACTTTGCTCTGTTAATCTTTTCCTCGATCCTGACTAGTTTCCCAGTCCATGCCACTGAAAAACAATCAATTTCCAGTCTCATAGCAAAGGGTCTGAATACTTATGTAAATAAGGTATTTTTAATTTTATTTTTATATACACTACCAGTCAAAAGTTTGGACACATCTACTCATTCAAGGGTTTTTCTTTATTTTTACATTTCTTTACATTGTAGAATAATAGTGAAGACATCAAACTATGAAATAACACATATGGAATCATGTAGCAACCAAAAAAGTGTTAAACAAATCAAAATATATTTTATGTTTGAGATTCTTCAAATAGCCACCCTTTGCCTTGATGACAGCTTTGCACACTTGAGGGAAAAATGAGTTTGACACCCCTGATGTAGAGGGTTATTGACTGAGTTTTGAAAAAACCCTGCAGGTTGAGCAATGCATAAACCGGTTGAAGGAAATGAAGCTGGATGCTGCTCTTCTGGACCTGAAGCAGCTATGTCCAAAGAAAATGCAAAGGTACTAACTAGCTAGAAAGTCTCTGCATTTAGCTATTAGCAAATGGTTCTGTGCCAATGCCCTTGGTGGCGTACTTAGCTGCATCTAATCACGCTGACACAGCACACTAGCATCAAGATCCATGTAACTTGTTTTTGGGTCTATGTGTATTTGATAGTCTACGGTGTATTGGCTAACTGTAATCTTGATGTGTGTATATATGTGTGCTTGTGTTTGCAGGCAGCTGGCTACGGAGACAGGTCAGTGTGATGTCCCCAGTCAGCCCATGCTGGAATGGCTTTGTCTCAAGGTGTTGGGAGCTGCCAGGCTGATGACGTGTCTGCTCAATCACTGCACCAGAGCCTTCATGTATCCTCTTTCTCTCTCCTCTGGGAGACTTCAGCAGCTGTATCTGTCTCCTTGCTTTTTTACCTCTCTTTTTTGCTTAACAGTGTCCTTCAGTTTTTTGAAAGGCGCTCTAAATCCAATGTATTATTATTATTATTATTACTATATAAATGACTGTTGCTGTCGTTCCAGGTCATATTTTTTGCAGTTGCATATTGTAAGGTCTCACAACGCCTGGAGAAGTGTTTTAACTTGTCAGGAACCACATTAATACCTACTCAGCCATCAACATGTCTTAAGGCATCCTGTGATGACTTAAGACCAATATAAATGAAGACGTCTCGAGACAAAAGTGATGACTGGGTATGTACGACATGACAATCTTCTGTAATGTGCAGCATGACTGCAAAAAAAGACAACCTGGAACGCAAATTATACATGAACATGATGTGCATGATTGCCTTGACAAATCTCTCCAGACTAGCGAGGCAGCACCTCCAATCGAAGGAATTCATTCTGTTGAACGTGGTGTTCACCAGCATGCTTAGTCGACTGTGGTGAGTCCCGTGGCTCTTTCAGGGTCATGTCTGAAGTACTGCTTTTGAATAATATGGAACATGGTTCTTCTACCACAGACTTCCTAACTTTAAACCCCTCCACAATTAAAGCATCTATCTTGATTTAATCCCACAGCCCCCCCCCTCAAACTTGTCCCTTCTTACTAGCTCTGACTTTGCTGATAACTACTTTATTGAGGAAAAAGTTTACTTACTAGGACTGTGATATGTGGTTGTCTCATCTAGCTATCTTAAGACGAATGCACCAACTGTAAGTCGCTCTGGATAAGAGTGTCTGCTAAATGACTAAAATGTATCTATCTGCTCCTCAGGGTGTTTTTCCGGGGCATCCTGGGTAGCCTGGCCCCTCTCTACCAGCACCTCCTGGAGCTCCTGAAGGAGGTATCCCAGGCTCAGGCTATGGCCTTCCTCATAGACTTCACCCTGCCAGCAGGGATAGCTGAGTTCCTTGGGCCCTCCGACTCTTCCTTGCTGAAGATGCAGCATTCCCGGGCCCCTAGGGGCCTCGGAGAGAAAGGCGCCTCCAAGTCCTCTGTGCTCAATAGACTGTTCAGAGAGGAGGGAGAGGAGGGTAGGAAGCAGGCTCTGGGTGGTCCCTCCAATAGGAAGAGCAGCAAACTGGATCTGGGAACTGCAGTCTTACTCCAGAGGACTGGTGATACAGGTTAGTGTCATCTGCCTCTGCATTGCTTGCTTTTTGGGGTTTCAGGCTGGGTATTTGTAAAGCACTTTGTAACAGCTGCTGATGTAAAAAGGACTTTATAAAATAAATTTGATAGATTGATCTATTTTTTTGCTCTCCTGGTATAGCCTATGTTCTGTTGTCTACATTTGAACATATAATATAACAGCCATATAATTCCCTTATTACAGGTGCCGTCTCTGGATTTGATATGAAGGCCTTGCTGAAACGAACCCATGGCGGTATCCCAGAGGTATGTGTGGTTGTTTTTATGTCAGAATATTATACGGATTACACATTAAAATCCACTACTTTTAATTTTAGTTTGTTATTTGATGATGAGTGTTGTTATTTATACTAGATTGTTATTTGAACTCTTTGTGCAGGTGTCAATAGAAGAAGAGCAGCCTTCATCACTGGATGCTGCTGTGATTGGTCAGAAGAGGAAGTTTCTGAAGCAACTGAAAACAGCCACCACTTTCAACAACATGGCTGCCCACCTGGAGGAAGTGATGCAATGGTGTGAATGCAGGAAGCTACGTCAGGAGAAGGGGCGCCTGACGTTCCTGCACCTGAAGTGCCAGAGGATGAAACACCTGGAATCAGAGGGCTGCAGGTACAGGGACTCTATTGTACCGGGGCTTTTAATAATATAATCTATTGCAACTATCACAATGGGAAATATTTTTCACACCTTGTCCAAACTAAAACTTCCAGTCACATTAATTGATGGGAACCTATGTGTTTGTTCTTGGTCTCCCCAGTGTACAAGGGAAACTGAAGAGCTACAAACGAGAGGTTTGCTGGGCCCTGTCACTCAGAGGGGCAGTACCCAGGACCTGTCAGTCGCTAAAGACGCTGTGGAGGAGGGCTCACCCTAGAATTCGCTTTCAGCCATTCAGGACTCTATTTGAACCAATCAGGACTGCAGTCTGTGTCAACAGAAAACAGTCACTAAGACACAAGAGAAGAAGGAGGAGGAGTACTTTACCAGACTCACCGGGGGGTGTGGCCACGATGACTGACGACCAGTCCCTGAGCAATGAGCATAGCAACCAAAGTAGAGACCCTCCTGACACTCCAGCTCAGAAACCCTTGGGTGTGAACGAGACTGACATTGATGACATTTTTGCCTTCATAGGTTTCTAAGACTCCAAAACCCTGGCCTATGGGTTAAAAGGGGTTCTCAGCTTTCATGATTTAAACAAATAAATCCACACAAGGTTTTCTTGGTTGCATGTGTTTCATCTCTGACATCAAGTTACAATTTTTCAGTGGTGTTTGCTAGACATACATTAGTCGCTTGCCTTAAGTTTTTCTTAAAGTAGCCTATTATTAAAAGGTTTTAGAAACATGGTATTAAGCCTATGCAAACCCCCTTAGTCTGTGTGCAGTATTCACTTTTCTATCAAATTATATTTGGCATTTACAGGAAAACTGCTAATAAAGTGCTAACAAATAAATGTTTACTTTTCTTTAAAAAGATATTATCAGAGAGGTGTGGGGGGCTGCTGCCTTATTCGACATCATCGGCACCCAGGGAGCAATTGTTGGGGGTGAACTGCCTTGCTCAACGGTAGAACGGAAGATTTTTCCACCTTGTCGGCTCAGAGATTTGAACCAGCGTCCTTTCGGTTACTGGCCCAACGCTCTTAACTGCTAGGCTATCTGCCGCCTCAATTAGCAACTAAACTTCTGTACAAACCTCTTGATTTACAGTGAGGGAAAAAAGTATTTGATCCCCTGCTGATTTTGTACATTTGCCCACTGACAAAGACATGATCAGTCTATAATTTTAATGGTAGGTTTATTTGAACAGTGAGAGACAGAATAACAACAACAAAATCCAGAAAAACACATGTCAAGAATGTTATAAATTGATTTGCATTTTAATGAGGGAAATAAGTATTTGACCCCTCTGCAAAACATGACTTAGTACTTGGTCGCAAAACCCTTGTTTGCAATCACAGAGGTCAGACGTTTCTTGTAGTTGGCCACCAGGTTTGCACACATCTCAGGAGGGATTTTGTCCCACTCCTCTTTGCAGATCTTCTCCAAGTCATTAAGGTTTCGAGGCTGACGTTTGGCAACTCGAATCTATGGGATTAAAGTCTGGAGACTGGCTAGGCCATTCCAGGACCTTAATGTGCTTCTTCTTGAGCCACTCCTTTGTTGCCTTGGCTGTGTGTTTTGGGTCATTGTCATGCTGGAATACCCATCCACGACCCATTTTCAATGCCCTGGCTGAGGGAAGGAGGTTCTCACCCAAGATTTGACGGTACATGGCCCCGTCCATCGTCCCTTTGATGCAGTGAAGTTGTCCTGTCCCCTTAGCAGAAAAACACCCCCAAAGCATAATGTTTCCACCTCCATGTTTGACGGTGGGGATGGTGTTCTTGGGGTCATAGGCAGCATTCCTCCTCCTCCAAACACGGCGAGTTGAGTTGATGCCAAATAACTCGATTTTGGTCTCAGCTGACCACAACACTTTCACCCAGTTCTCCTCTGAATCATTCAGATGTTCATTGGCAAACTTCAGACGGGCCTGTATATGTGCTTTCTTGAGCAGGGGGACCTTGCGGGCGCTGCAGGATTTCAGTCCTTCACGGCATAGTGTGTTACCAATAGTTTTCTTGGTGACTATGGTCCCAGCTGCCTTGAGATCATTGACAAGATCCTCCCATGTGGTTCTGGGCTGATTCCTCATCGTTCTCATGATCATTGCAACTCCAAGGGGTGAGGTCTTGCATGGAGCCCCAGGCCGAGGGAGATTGACAGTTCTTTTGTGTTTCTTCCATTTTGCGAATAATCTCACCAACTGTTGTCACCTTCTCACCAAGCTGCTTGGCGGTGGTCTTGTAGCCCATTCCAGCCTTGTGTAGGTCTACAATCTTGTCCCTGACATCCTTGGCGAGCTCTTTGGTCTTGGCCATGGTGGAGAGTTTGGAATCTGTTTGATTGATTGCTTCTGTGGACAGGTGTCTTTTATACAGGTAACAAACTGAGATTAGGAGCGCTCCCTTTAAGAGTGTGCTCCTAATCTCAGCTCGTTACCTGTATAAAAGACACCTGAGAGCCAGAAATCTTTGAGTGAGAGGGGGTCAAATACTTATTTCCCTCATTAAAATGCAAATCAATTTATAACATTTTTGAAATGCATTTTTCTGGATTTTTTTGTTGTTATTCTGTCTCTCACTGTTCAAATAAACCTACCATTAAAATTATAGACTGATCATTTCTTTGTCAGTGGGCAAACGTACAAAATCAGCAGGGGATCAAATACTTTTTTCCCTCACTGTATGTTGAACTGGTTCATTGTAATTGGTCATTAATGTATTGTCATTCACAGCAGATGGACAGGTTGTTCTCACCCTGATATACTGTAAAACAGAAAGGGAGAAAAACCACAGCAGAGTTCAGAGAGCCTTTTTCAGTTCCTAATATGCCATTTAGCAGACACTTTTATCCAAAGTTCCTCTCAGCAACAATGATGCATACGTATGTATGTAATTTAAATAGATATTTATTTGGATTTTATGTAATGGACATACACAAAATAGTCCAAATTGGTGAAGTGAAATGTAAAAAATAACGTGTTAAAAAAAATTCTAAGAGTCTGCAACACCACTAAGCAAGGGGCACCACCAAGCAAGCGGCACCATGAAGACCAAGCTCTCCAAACAGGTCAGGGACAAAGTTGTGGAGAAGTATAGATCAGGGTTGGGTTATAATTTTTTTTTATCAGAAACGTTGAACATCCCACGGAGCACCATTTAAATCCATTCTAAAAAAATTGAAAGAATATGGCATCACAACAAACCTGCCAAGAGAGGGCCGCCCACCAAAACTCACGGACCAGGCAAGGAGGGCATTAATCAGAGAGGCAACAAAGATAACCCTGAAGGAGCTCTACAGCGGAGATTGGAGTATCTGTCCATAGGACCACTTTAAGCCGTACACTCCACAGAGCTGGGCTTTACGGAAGAGTGGCCAGAAAAAAGCCATTGCTTAAAGAGAAAAAATAAGCAAACACGTTTGGTGTTCGCCAAAAGGCATGTGGGAGACTCCCCAAACATATGGAAGATGGTACTCTGGTCAGATGAGACTAAAATTGAACTTTTTGGCCATCAAGGAAAACGCTATGTCTGGCACAAACCCAACATCTCTCATCACCTCGAGAACACCATACCCACAGTGAAGCATGGTGGTGGCAGCATCATGCTGTGGGGATGTTTTTCATCGGCAGGGACTGGGAAACTGGTCAGAATTGAAGGAATGATGGATGGTGCTAAATACAGGGAAATTCTTGAGGGAAACCTGTTTCAGTCTTCCAGAGATTTGAGACTGGTACGGAGGTTCACCTTCCAGCAGGACAATGACCCTAAGCATACTGCTAAAGCAACACTCAAGTGGTTTAAGGGGAAACATTTAAATGTCTTGGAATGGCTTAGTCAAGGGCCAGACCTCAATCCAATTGAGAATCTGTGGTGTTACTTAAAGATTGCTGTACACCAGCGGAACCCATCCAACTTGAAGGAGTTGGAGCAGTCTTGCCTTGAAGAATGGGCAAAAATCCCAGTGACTAGATGTGCCACGCTTATAGAGACATACCCCAAGAGACTTGCAGCTGTAATTGCTGCAAAAGGTGGCTCTACAAAGTATAGACTTTGGGGGGGGGGGGGGGGGTGAATGGTTATGCACGCTCAAGTTTTCATTTTTTTGGTCTTCTTTCTTGTTTGTTTCACAATAAAAAATATTTTGCATCTTGAAAGTGGTAGGCATGTTGTGTAAATCAAATGATACAAACCCCCCAAAAATCAATTTTTAGTTCCAGGTTGTAATGCAACAAAATAGGAAAATGCCAAGGGGGGTGAATAATTTTGCAAGCCACTGTATCAGCATCAGCACAAGGTCCTACATAAACCTCTGATCTTACGCTTCAGTCCGAGGTTTCAGTTTAGCCCACAGTCTGTCCCAGAATGCCTGGTGCTAATGGGGTTCCAGTCCAGATAGGTCCTGGTCTTCACCAGGCGAGCCAGCCTGTGGTGGGCAGACAGCCAGTGAGGGGGGATCTTCTCCAGGAAGACCAGGAGGAGGTTGTCCCTTTGCTCCACCTGCAGCCTGGAGGTGGCCAGCTTCATCTCCAGGGAACACCAGTTACTGCGCCGGAAGTGGCGACTGACCAGGCAGAGGGTGTGGTGGCTCTGGTAGAGGCTGTCTGTGATGTTCTCCACAATGTCCTTCCCCAGCTGGAAGTCTGCTGTGTAGACAGAGGCGCAGGAAAGAGGGACCCCTCTGCTCCAGGTTGTGCAGCAGCAGCTCCTCCACCACCCAGCGCTCGTCCTTCCCGCTGTAGGAGACAAATGTGTCGTAGTGGTAGCGCCCCCTGGTGTTGGATCGCATGGCCTCCGACAACTAGCCAACGGCGATGCGGTAGAGGGGGAGGAGGTAGGGGCCGGCCAGGTTATGGACCAACAACACCAGCATGAAGAACAGGACTGCCAGGGTAGTCGCAGCAAAGAGCACAAAGCCCACCTCTGTTGTGCAGTTGGCTTCTGTGTACAGTGGGGGAAAAAAGTATTTAGTCAGCCACCAATTGTGCAAGTTCTCCCACTTAAAAAGATGAGAGAGGCCTGTAATTTTCATCATAGGTACACGTCAACTATGACAGACAAAATGAAAAAAAATCCAGAAAATCACATTGTAGGATTTTTTATGAATTTATTTGCAAATTATGGTGGAAAATAAGTATTTGGTCAATAAGAAAAGTTTCTCAATACTTTGTTATATACCCTTTGTTGGCAATGACACAGGTCAAACGTTTTCTGTAAGTCTTCACAAGGTTTTCACACACTGTTGCTGGTATTTTGGCCCATTCCTCCATGCAGATCTCCTCTAGAGCAGTGATGTTTTGGGGCTGTCGCTGGGCAACACGGACTTTCAACTCCCTCCAAAGATTTTCTATGGGGTTGAGATCTGGAGACTGGCTAGGCCACTACAGGACCTTGAAATGCTTCTTACGAAGCCACTCCTTCGTTGCCCGGGCGGTGTGTTTGGGATCATTGTCATGCTGAAAGACCCAGCCACGTTTCATCTTCAATGCCCTTGCTGATGGAAGGAGGTTTTCACTCAAAATCTCACGATACATGACCCCATTCATTCTTTCCTTTACACGGATCAGTCGTCCTGGTCCCTTTGCAGAAAAACAGCCCCAAAGCATGATGTTTCCACCCCCATGCTTCACAGTAGGTATGGTGTTCTTTGGATGCAACTCAGTTGAGTTTTTACCAAAAAGTTCTATTTTGGTTTCATCTGACCATATGACATTCTCCCAATCCTCTTCTGGATCATCCAAATGCACTCTAGCAAACTTCAGACGGGCCTGGACATGTACTGGCTTAAGCAGGGGGACACGTCTGGCACTGCAGGATTTGAGTCCCTGGCGGCGTAGTGTGTTACTGATGGTAGGCTTTGTTACTTTGGTCCCAGCTCTCTGCAGGTCATTCACTAGGTCCCCCCGTGTGGTTCTGGGATTTTTGCTCAACGTTCTTGTGATCATTTTGACCCCACGGGGTGAGATCTTGCGTGGAGCCCCAGATCGAGGGAGATTATCAGTGGTCTTGTATGTCTTCCATTTCCTAATAATTGCTCCCACAGTTGATTTCTTCAAACCAAGCTGCTTACCTATTGCAGATTCAGTCTTCCCAGCCTGGTGCAGGTCTACAATTTTGTTTCTGGTGTCCTTTGACAGCTCTTTGGTCTTGGCCATAGTGGAGTTTGGAGTGTGACTGTTTGAGGTTGTGGACAGGTGTCTTTTATACTGATAACAAGTTCAAACAGGTGCCATTAATACAGGTAACGAGTGGAGGACAGAGGAGCCTCTTAAAGAAGAAGTTACAGGTCTGTGAGAGCCAGAAATATTGCTTGTTTGTAGGTGACCAAATACTTATTTTCCACCATAATTTGCAAATAAATTCATTAAAAATCCTACAATGTGATTTTCTGAATTTTTTTTCCTCAATTTGTCTGTCATAGTTGATGTGTACCTATGATGAAAATTACAGGCCTCTCTCATCTTTTTAAGTGGGAGAACTTGCACAATTGGTGGCTGACTAAATACTTTTTTCCCCCACTGTACTTGACAAAGTTAGGTATGTCTAGTCCATTGTCTGACAAGCATATCAAGTCCTCCAAAGCAAAGAGCCAAGCATTGTCACAACTGCAAAACATATGTAATGTATCAAGTATTAAATACTTAAGGCTAGAGAGAGGTTCAGTAAAGCTGTAGAATATATTATAAATGTTCTCGATACGCAAAGACAATGTTTTCAAAGATATAAAGTCTTTAGTTAAACTCAATCCTGCAGTTTGAAGGTTTCAGAATGTTCAGTTTGGTCAGGTTGTGAAAAAGAATGTTGGCAGTACGCTGTTTTGAAAGATCCACCTGTATTAGTCAGTTTTCTCAGGTGAATCAGCTGATTAATAGACGTTAAATCAACACTTTTAGCTGAAAGCTTAGATCTGTACTCAAATGTATCCACAGATCGGAAGTACTTTCCCATACATTCAGATCCACAAAGGAATTCTTCAGCATTAAGATAAATTACAGACGCAAAGAAGGGTCTGTCACAGTCCTCAAATGACACCGTCTGGCCTTTGATCTGGAGACTCAGATTGTGTTTGGATGTGACTTTACTGCCAATAATCAACTGCATTGGCCTCATACCTGAACTAATGTACAGATGAGTCAGCTGACTCAGAATGTCGCCAAATACGTGTGTCAGATTCAGCTTGATCCCAGGTTCTGTTGGTGGAAAGTTCAAGTCCCCCAGAAACACATGAGGTGTGTGAAAGACATTGCCTCAATAGTGTGAATCAGTGGATTGTTCCTCAGGTCTAACAATGTCAAACTATGTAAACCAGTAAACATGTTTGCATGCATCTGTGTCATCTTATTTTTTGTAATGTCTAAGAGCTCCAGATTGGTCAATCCCTGGAAAGCAAAGTCCTCAATGTGTGAAATTAAATTCAGTGATAAAACCAGATTCCGCAGGTTCTCAAAACAGCTGAACTGTTTTGCAAAAAGCATTTTTAGATTATTTCCCCTTAAAATGAGATGTGTTATCCATGTAATTTGATGTTTTTGGAAAGAGCAGAGATCGGGTCTGTTTTGTGTCTGGCCATTTATCTCTAATTTATTAAGGTTTTTGAGACTGGAAATAAAATTCCATTTAAAATGTGAAGTAGGATTTACCCTTAAATACATATATTCCAGCCTAATGCATGATTCAACACTGGACATTGAGAAGCTGCTTATAGTGGCATATTCCAAACGGATTTCCTTGATTGAAAGCAAAAACACTATATTACAGATATTCTCAAAATCTATTTAATTACTAGATAAACTCAAGGACAAGGACTGTATTTTCTTAGTGCCAGATAAGGGAAGGCGCAATAGTATTTCCTGGCTGAGCCCTAGTTCAAAAGTTGTCAGGTTCTAGAGACAAGACAGTGCACCTTCTTCTAGACGTGTTATTTGATAACTCAATGATAACTTAATGATTGTTAGGTTATTCAAAACAGAGGTCATGCTTTCATTGGTGTTTATGATAGAGCAGTTTGATTGGTTTAGCGATTGTATCTCTGGTGCCTCAACATATAGCTCTGTAAGTGACTTTATATTCATTACTCTGCATAGTATCTCTGACAAATCATCTACACAGGGTTCACTAATGGAGACACTTTGTAACTTAGGTATGCCATGGAAAACATCTGGTGCCATTGCGGATAGCCTATAACCAAATATGGTCAAATTACTTAGCTTGACTAGATCTCTGAATGTGTGAGGCCCAAAATGACAATCACAGCACCCAGCGATCATTTGCCCATTCAAATACACCTTTTGCAGATTTGGAAGGCCCTGGCTATTCCCAGTTGAACATATTTGAGAGAGACAGACACTAATGTACAGGTACTCCAGATCTTGAAACTGAGACAAAAAGCCCAGAGACATGGAACTATTTTTACCAAATTTCATGGATATGCAGAGGGTATTGATATTAGGGGGAAGTCCAATTAGATCCTCCTCGATGGCTGTGACATCTTGACAGGCAGCAGTGTACTGTTTTGCATGAAGACAGTTCCAGGCAGGCAAGTCTTCATCACTGTCAAAAATGTAGCATTTAGGATGGATCCAGCCACTAACACTCTGAATCCACAGGAGCAGGGCAGGAAAGCACAGTCTTCATCTCTCCCAATGACAGTAAAATCTATTCAGATGATTGTCAGAACAGTTTGGTTCCGGATGAAATCTGTAAAACGTTGGTTTGATACAGTAACACCCTTGGGAGTGCTGCAAACAGTAGTCTTATTTTTTGTCAGATGCCTTCTTTGGTAACTAACAGCGCACAGCTTTTTGTTGTTCCGATATTCTTCCCTTTCACCCTTCAGTTGAAAGGTACTCAAGGTTACAAAGTAATTATCAAATGGTTAGTTTGGTTCCATTAGTAAATAAAGTACAAATGTCCCACATTCAATTAAGAAATGAGTGCAGGGCTGAAATAAGTTCTCTGATCGTCGCAGACTTGCAGTTGATGTCTGTGTACATCTGAGGAGCATCACCCTATTTGTTCAGTACCGTCCCACTGTAGACAGATCATGATGTATGGATGGGTAAGGAGGGGTGGAGACAGTATCATGTGTGATACCACATGGAAGGTAACTTAAACAGCTTTGGAAGACTTTTCTTTTCTTTTTTTTTTACCTGTCTTGACATCTCTCTCTTTCAGTTCCTCTTAGAAAATATAAATTCTGTATATTTGTATCACCTTAAAAAAAAAAAAGAAGACCATTCACATGAAGCATGTTTGGATGTGATAGATGTCAGAAGATAAGTCTCACTAAAGGATCTGCAGTTTGTCATGAAATATATATTTTAGTAAAACTCTTGATAGACCACTTAAAATGTTCACCTTTATTTAAATGTCTGGTACATGTACATATCAAAAGATCAGGAGGTGGGTAGGTACCTTCTTTAAGACAACACACTAGTAACTAGCCTCTGCGTAAAAACAAAGACAACTACTAAAACTAAAGGTACAGTACAATGTGGAGAGTTCTTCATATATATATATATATATATATATATATATATACACATACATATACACACACACATACATACACACATATATATATATATATACATATACACACACACAAAGTATACAAACCACTATGACAGACTGACCAGGTGAATCCAGGTGAAAGCTAGGATCCCTTTTTAATGTCACTTGTTAAATCCACTTCAAATCAGTGTAGATGAAGGGGAGGAGACAGGTTGAAGAAGGATTTTTAAGCCTCGAGACAATTGAGACATGGATTTTGTATGTGTGCCATTCAGAGTGTGAATGGGCAAGACAAAATATTTAAGTGCCTTTGAACGGGGTATGGTAGTAAGTGCCAGGCGCACTGGTTTGTGTCAAGAACTGCAACGCTGCTGGGTTTTTCACACTCAACAGTATCCTGTGTGTATCAAGAATGGTCCACCACCCAAAGGACATCCAGCACACTTGACACAACTGTGGGAAGCATTGGAGTCAACATGGGCCAGCATCCCTTTGGAATTCTTTCGACACCTTGTAGAGTCCATGCTATGACGAATTGAAGCTGTTCTGAAGACAAAATGGGGTGCAACTCAATATTAGGAAGGTGTTCTTGATGTTTGGTATAGTCAGTATCTAGGCTATTCATCTATGTAAATATTTCAATATGCACCAAACATTAATTACACCAATGGATACAGACTTACAGTACATTCATAAACATGGTTAATATCTACTGTCTATTAATTTAAAACTAAATGAATGTTCAATCAATACAAAACTCAATGTCAAAGTACAACACTTGTATTAGTCAGGGGGACTTGTATTGTATTCTTTATGGCATTTTTTTGCTTTAACATACAAATGATAAAATAATATGAGGCATGTTTAAAGTATCCTGGAGGGGTCTATGTAAAATTAAATAGAATGTGTTAATGCTGGTGTGTGTCTGTGTCAGATGAGTCCTACAACATGGACTAATAAATTAGTTTAGGTTGACTGGTTTGCAATATAAATAGGTATATTCAAAAGTGATTGTAGTTCTGACAGGAGTGACTAGACAGAAACCTTTTCATGGTGAACAGTTTCCTCTATGAAACCCTCACCACTCAACACAGTTCACCTCAGTCACTACCACACTGCAACCTTGCTGGCCTCCATGAGGTCTCTGCATGTATACACTGTTGTAAAAAAGTGAGGTACAGGAGAACTCAGACTTCATTCAGGATCTAAGATGGCTTCCTACCCCTGAAGTTTATGTTTTTTTAAATGAAGTAAAGCTTCACAGAAACCTCTCCAATGTTAAGAGTAATGGCAGGACCTGTAATACACACTTTCAGCCTGTAGAGGTCAGTGTGTGTTTATGGTGTGATTGAGTGGGAAGCATGTAGGTACAGTATTGCGTCCAGGTCGCTGCGTGCTGCTAACTGTCCAAGAGTCCCGCGGCCTGTCTGTGCTCACATCTGGGTGATCTTGCCCTTTTCTCCGTTGTTGCCATTTTCGTCGCACTCAAAGCCTCCATTCTCCAGGACGTACTCCTGCTTGTCCTTGGAAGGAGGTGCCTCAGCGTCCCACTCTGCTCCCTCGCCGTCTAACTCAGACGAACCCCCTCCACACTTCCTCTTATACATCTGGTAAGCTGTAGGAGGGAGAACCACTCATGTTACACCTACTGTGTGCCTTTACAGCCACATCTTTCGATCTGAATGAGCACCGAAAAGCATCAATAATATAGTTTGGCATTTAACTGATGGTTAGTCTGAGAGAAGTTAATGATCAGACTGGCACCCAGGCAACCAATCATTAGCTAGAATGACAAATGGTGTGAATATTGATAACAAATGGTAGAAATACCAGGCCATAGGCCTACTATACATCTATAAGTCGACTACAAAACATTTGATAGCATATCAATAGTGATATTAGCTCCTCAATATTGGTATAAGCTGACCCACCTCCGACAGACATGACAGCCACCACCAGTTGGAAGATGCTGTAGATGAGTGGGAAGGCGAACATGACCTCCAGTTCTTCAGTGGAGAACGACAGCTGGACGATAGTGCTGCACAACTGTGAGTTCTGGAAGCCTGTCTCCAAGGCGATGGTACGACACCTAAACACAACAACGACGAGCTTGTTAACTACAGTAGGTTCCATGGAGCGTCGAAGGGCTCCGCTTTACTGGTGTACTTGTAAGAACCTGCTGCTCTGTTAAATGAACAAGGTTAAGTTAAAATGCACTGGATGGTTTTCATTGTAGCATCTTTGGAGTACATTGCACATCTGGTACTGTAGTTTTTGCATTAACTTGAATGTTAAGGCATTTCCAGAAGGGAATGATGTACTCATTCAGGTTAGTCAAGTGTAATTCAGGTAGGTGTCTTCAACACCTTGTATTGTAATGGTAACTTGGATTTTATCAACTAGATACAATATTAAGACTGGACCATCATAAATCATATAATATTGCAGTAGTACCTGTGCCAGGGCTGTCCTACAAAGCGGGCCATGAAGAAGCCCAGGGTGAAGCCTACGAAGGGGTAGATGGCTCCGATGATCCAGAGAGAGGGAGAGATGGTCCAGGAGGACTGGTACAGCACCCCACCCACCACCGCAATTATGATGATGAGGAGGAAGCCCATTATGGAACCCACCTGCAAACACACATTTTATATACTTTATTTGAATCCACTAAATCGCATGTATAGTGTAGTAGTAGTGTGTAACCAACCGCAGCTGTATGCAGTGCGAGGGGAGAGGGTTTAATCTTACCTTGAGGATCAATTTGGCAGTTTTGGGCCACTTGTTTTTGACGTAGATTCCCAGGGCAACGGGGATGAGGAGGGACACCAAGGTTATACCTGGAGACAAAGATATACATCTGTCATGATCTTCCAAACTGCCTCTGGAAGCAACGTCAGAACAAGAACTGTTTGTCGGGAGCTTCATGAAATGGGTTTCCATGGCCGAGCAGCCACACACAAGCCTAAGATCACCATGCACAATGCCAAGCGTCGGCTGGAGTGGTGTAAAGCTCACCGCCATTGGAGTCTGGAGCAGTGGAAACGCGCTCTCTGGAGTGATGAATCATGCTTCTGGCAGGAGAACGCTATCTGCCCCAATGCATAGTGCCAACTGTAAAGTTTGGTGGAGGAGGAATATTGTTCTGGGGCCGTTTTTCATGGTTCGGGCTAGGCCCCTTACTTCCAGTGAAGGGAAATCTTAACGCTACAGCATACAATGACATTCTAGACGATTCTGTGCTTCCAACTATCTGGAAACAGGTTGGGGAAGGCCCTTTCCTGTTTCAGCATGACAATGAGAAATGGTTTGTCGAGATCAGTGTGGAAGAACTTGACTGGCCGGCACAGAGCCCCGGGATGAATTAGAACGCCGACTGCGAGCCCAAACCTAATCGCCCGACCTCACTAATGCTCTTGTGGCTGAATGGAAGCAAGTCCCCGCAGCAATGTTCCAACATCTAGTGGAAAGCCTTCCCAGAAGAGTGGAGGCTGTTATAGCAGCAAAGGGGAGACCAACTCCATATTAATGCCCATGATTTTGTAATGAGATGTTCGACAAGCAGGTGTCCACATACTTTTGGTAATGTAGTGTAAGTAAGCTGCTATAAGGATCTGAATGTTTTAGCATTTCTAATGGTGTTCTAACACCTAGAAATATAATCTATATGTGGAAATCTATACTAATTATATGTTCTAATACCTGTGCTGCTAGATGGAATCTAAAGAATGCTGCACAGAAGCATTCCCACCAATACATTATCTAGTTGGTACATCAATGCATATGCCCGTATATGGAATGGTTTATTTTAGTATTGGTAGCTACCTATGCTTTGGTAGGGGATCTGGATGGTGTCAGCGGAGGTCCAGACAGACGTGTAGATGAGCAGACACAGAGGCATCATCCCCAGGGCCAGGATAGAGGAGCAGGCTGTCATGCTGATACTAGAGAGAGGGGGAAACACACAACATTAGTACACTGGATCACACTAGAAACACACTTAAAACGTAGTACCAAAGGCAAAACTTGAAAGTAGGCTAAATCATCTACCAAATAACATGTACACTCTTAGAAAAAAAGGTGCTATCTAGAACCTAAAAGGGTTATCCAGCTGTCCCCATAGGAGAACTCTTAAGAACCCTTTTCGGTTCCAGGTAGAACAGTTTTCGGTTCCATTCCAGAGGGTTCTACACGGAACCAAAAAGGGTTCTACCTGGAACCAAAAAGGGTTCTCCTATGGGGACAGCCGAAGAACTGCTTCGAGTCAGTCTCACCTGAGGTCCATGTCTCCGTCCAGCCAGTAGGCAATGATATTAGAGCTGGAGCCACCGGGGCAGCAGCCCATGATGATGATGACGACAGCCTGCACGGGCAGCACGTTGAAGGCCAGTGACAGGGCGAAGGCGGTGAAGGGCATGATGCCGAACTGGCACAAGAAGCCGATGAAGATTCCCCAAGGCCTCTTGATGTGTCCCCACAGTTTTGTGACCTCCACAGTGCAGCCCATGGCGAACATGACCATGGCCAGCATGACTGTCAGCACGATGCTGAGAACTAGGCTCAGGATCTCGTTGTAGTTGCTGGAGGGCACCAGGCACGACGTGCCCGAGCATATCGTGGCGTTGGGGTGGCAGGTGGTCAACACCACGGCAGCCGTTGTCATGGGTGTGTTCATAGTGGAGAACGGTGACAGGGGGTGTAAAAAAAATCTCAAAAGGAACCCAACAGAAGAATTCCGGAGTGCGGGGGAGAATGGAGAGAAGAAGTCTGTCCTGTCGTGCTGCGTTCTTCTAAGACTCCTCCGGCTCTCCTCCCTCCTGTATCCACGGTGACGAGGGCCGCACTGAGACCATACACCTCTCCTCCAGGCCTTTAATACCTACCTAAAAAAATATAATAATAATTAACTTGTACCTAACGTTTTTATGAGGTCAGTGTCCAAATGCGAATGCAGAAAACGTTCATTGTTTAAACTTACAATAAATGTAATTGCACCATCTTATTTTTTTATCACTCCTTCAGCTCTTAAATTTTATTGTCCTCTTCCAATCACAGCCATGCAACATCATCATCCTGGTAGCGCCACCAAAGGAGTAATGATGCCTACCTTTACGTGATGAGTGTGGGCACAAGGTCCTGTCCAGTGTGCGTCACCATCACCTCTCCCCAGTGGGACTATAAAAGAGAAGGACTCTAAACTGTAAAAAGCCTCTGATGTTGGACCCACTGTGAAAAAAGCTATAGGTGGAAGGAATGCTCTGTGTCTGTCACTGAAAGACACCAAAGTGACATAGTATAAGCCACATACCCAGTGGGGGTAGACTTTAGCTGTTAGAGGAAGACACAAGGACACAAAAAGTAACTGTGGAACTTCAGCACTCTTCTATCAGAGAGAAAGAAAATGAGACCTCATGAAATTCAAACCATAGAAAATAATAACATAATATCAACCACGTAGATGGATAAATATCTGTCAACAAAAAACATGGAAATAATGTGTTACAACACAAAAACTGTGACAACGTATGTGTGCGTCATATTTAACTATATAATCATAGTCAGATTATTGTACCTCAAATGTATCATAAACCATCTCGCTATATCGTAGGCCTATAACTAGGTTGTTCTTCTTACGCAACTATCCAGTTGATATTACATGAATGTTACCTTATTTTACAGGAGATGAGACCTTGGTTCACTCTTACTACAGGAGAACTGATCACTCTTCCTCCAAAATACAATATCTTATCCCCCTCTCTCAATATGTAGCTAGTTCTCAGAGTTTTTGCTTCCCTTAGTCTTTCTTTTCCTGTTGATTCTGTCATTCATTAAATGCTAGCGGAAATGTTTAACAAAGTCTCCATCTGTAGCTTACTGTATAGGCCCCTTCAGGTCCAGAGTTCTACAACAACCAACACAAAACACCAACGTTGCCTTTTATGGTTTTTATTACAAAATAAAAACAATCGATATTCTCACCACCATACAGTGCATTCAGAAAGTATTCAGACCCCTTCCCCACATTTTGTTACATTACAGCCTTATTCTAAAATGGATTAAAAAATAAATAATTTCTCAATCTACAAACAATACCCCATAATGACAAAGCGAAAACCGGTTTTTATAATTTTTTTGCAAATGTAATAAAAAAAACAGAAAAACCTTATTTATCTACATAAGTATTCAGACCCTTTGCTATTAGACTCAAAATTGAGCTCAGGTGCATCCTGTTTCCATTGATCATCCTTGAGATGTTTCTACAACTTGATTGGAGTCCACCTGTGGTAAATTCAACTGTACATGATTTGGAAAGGCACACCTGTCTATATAAAAAGTCCCAAAGTTGACAGTATATGTCAGAGGAAAAACCAAGCCATGAGGTCAAATGAATTGTCCGTAGAGCTCCGAGACAGGATTGTATCGAGGCACAGATCTGGTGAAGGTTAGCAAAACATTTCTGCAGCATTGAAGGTCCCCAAGAACACAGTGGCCTCCATCATTCTTAAATGGAAGAAGCTTACAACCACCAATATTCTTCCTAGAGCTGGCCGCCCGGCCAAACTGAGCAATCGGGGGAGAAGGGCCTTGGTCAGGAAGGTGACCAAGAACCCGATGGTCACTCTGACAGAGCTCTAGAGTTCCTCTGTGGAGATGGGAGAAACCTTCCAGAAGGACAACCATCTCTGCAGCACTCCACCAATCAGGCTTTTATGGTAGAGTGCACGACAGCCCGCTTGGAGTTTGCCAAAAGGCACCTAAAGGACTCTCAGACCATGAGAAACTAGATTCTCTGGTCTGATGAAACCAAGATTGAACTCTGGCCTTCTGGAGGAAACCTGGCACCATCCCTTCGGTGAAGCAAGGTGGTGGCAGCATCATGCTGTGGGGATGTTTTTCAGCAGCAGGGACTGAGAGATCCTTGATGAAAACCTTCTCCAGAGCGCTCAGGACCTCAGTCAGACTGGGGCGAAGGTTCACCTTCCAACAGGACAACAACCCTAAGCACACAGCCAAGACAACGCAGGAGTGGCTTCAGGACAAGTCTCTGAATGTCCTTGAGTGGCCCAGCCAGAGCCCGGACTTGAACCCGATCGAACATCTCTGGAGAGACCTGAAAATAGCTGTGCAGCGACGCTCCCCATCCAACCTGACAGACCTTGAGAGAATCTGCAGAGAAGAATGGGAGAAACTCCCCAAATACAGGTGTGCCAAGCTTGTAGCGTCATACCCAAAAATAATCAAGGCTGTAATCGCTGCCAAAGGTGCTTCAACAAAGTACTAAGTAAAAGGTCTGAATACTTATGTAAATGTGATATTTCAATTGTTTTTGTAAACATTTCTAAAAAGCTGTTTTTGCTTTGTCGTTATGGGGTATTGTGTGTAGATTGATGAGGGGAAAAAAACAACTGAATCCATTTTTAAGTGGTAAAGGGGTCTGTATACTTTCCGAATGCACTGTACAGAAATAGCAGTCTGACTATAGTAAACAATGTACACAAACACTAAAGGTGAAGAGGTTCTTCTGGGAAATTGTCTTCAGGTCAGCTATTAGTTTGGCTCTGTTCCCAAGGTGAAAATTCCAGTAGAATCACACAGTACCGTGTCCATAAGAAAGCAGGGGAAGGAGTTCTCAGATCAGCGGTCTGCTTTGTTATAATGGTTTAGGGGTCAGAAGAGAAACACTGTAGCAGCACATGAGCCAAGTATAGCAACTGATCTCCGGTCAGTTCTGAAATCTGTCCACAATAGGCTACTGTATCAGTGGTGAAAGCGTTCATAGATTGAGTTTGTATGAGCTGATTCCAAAGCAGTTCTCAGCTGTGCTCCAGTGTGAAGTCAAAGAGAAGGGGTGGTTAACTGGTCTCAGATCAGCTTTGACAAGTGTCTCCCAGCTGAATGCTCCCGGTCACATGGGTAATGAAACAACGGAGCAGGTATATCCCAGAAAAATGGAGAGAACTGTCAATCAGGAGAGAGAGAAAGAGATCAATAAATAGCTGCTTCAACTTTTTGAAGACATCCAAACATATTTGCATGTATAGAATTGAGGAGGCGTGTTATACACAACACAGGACAGAGTAATGAAGTAGTTGTCAAAGTAGGTTTGCCTACGTGTGAAGAACAGTTAACATACAAGGGTGTATGCGTATGTGAGTTTACGAGCCATTATAAAGTGTTAGTAAATTAACGCATTAGTGTGCTGGTATCTGTAGAGTAGCACTTCAGTGGGTCTGTTATCAGTTCGTTACGGGTGTGAGATATTCTTCCGACACTCAACCTTTATAGAATGTGCGGCCGGCCGAAACCCAAGGCCTTGGCCGAGAGACTCACTCACTCAGTCAGTCAGTCACTCAGTCTCCCTCTCTGTGTCGCTTGCACACTGTCATTCCCCTCCCTCCCTCCACTTTCAATAACAGTGTGCAGTGTGTATGCCCGACCATACGTGCCACTGCCACCATTATCTCGTCTTATCTGATCACAGATAGCCATCTGACCCAATTTCCAAGATAGATAGGTTTTATTTACACAAATGCATGTGTGCCGCAATGGTGCACTTTTACAGTTTTCAATAAAGAAATCTAAACTGCAGTGCAGCTTACATAAGATAATATGTAAGCTGCACGGTGACATAATTCAGTCTGTCCTTTCCCATCACCTAAAGAATTAGGAAGATAGGTTACAGTCCAACTACAGCACTAACCAATGGCACACTTTCTGGTTTACAGTAAAGGCAACAGAGATTTTACAATACAATATCACTGTACTGTATGGTGTGGTTGGCATGACGATGGAACTGAAGCACAGTGTTCCATTACCTAAAAAGGTTGAACATGAAATATCTGAGATGATAGGCTATATATATATATATATACGGAGTGTACAAAACATTAAGAACACCTTCCTAATATTGAGTTGTACCCCCTTTTGCCCTCAGAACAGCCTCAATTCGTCAGAGCATGGACTCTACAAGGTGTCAAAAGCGTTGCAAAGGGATGCTGGGCCATGTTGATTCCAATGCTTCCCACAGTTGTGTCAAGTTGGGTGGTGGACCATTCTTGATACACACGGGAAACTGTTGAGTGTGAAAAACCCAGCAGCATTGCAGTTCTTGACACAAACCGGTGCGCCTGGCACCTACTACCATACCCCGTTCAAAGGTACTTAAATCCTTTGTCTTGCCCAATCACCCTCTGAATGGCACACATACACATTGTCTCAAGGCTTAAAAATCCTTCTTTAACCTGTCTCCTCCCCTTCATCTATACTGATTGCAGTGGATTTAACAAGTGACATCAATAAGGGATCATAGCTTTCACCTGTTCAGTCTATGTCATGGAATGTTTTGTACACTCAGTGTATATTTTGCATGTAAGCGGTCAGCATGCAGCCACACTTTATTCCTTTAGACTACAACTGCATCTGTGATGACCTTGGTCTAGTCATGTGATTGCTACAATGACATGGTGAGAGAGGGTGTGTCAGTCAGTCTCTTGCCAAATAAGTGGGACTAACTCTTTATCTCCTTGAATATTGAGCAATAGTAATGGCTTCTTTTTGTAAGCACTAACTCCGCCATGGCTTGTTGGGCAAAGCCTATGGGGAAAGGAATGGGTTTTTTGGAGGGTTTTCTGATAAACGCAGAAAATAAGGTCTGTGGTAAACATAGGCTTAGGAGGTCTTATGTGTTTTTTCTTTTTTCTATGAGATAATCTTCATCAGCTAATTTTGAAGCATTTATGTAATCAAACCATTTTGGCGTTTATCCCAAAACTCCACTCTTTCCCCCGTAGGAATGGCTGAACGAACCAGAGGTAACTCAATTTTTAGGACTACAACGCGAGCCCTATAACGATGTGTGTAATTCTGACATCACATTTACATTCTGACATGGCAAGTTTACACTGACAAGTCATCGGTCTAAAAAGAGGGATGTATATGGTGCACAAAGAGGGATGTATATGGTGCACAAAGAGGGATGTATATGGTGCACAAAGAGGGATGTATATGGTGCACAAAGAGGGATGTATATGGTGCACAAAGAGGGATGTATATGGTGCACAAAGAGGGATGTATATGGTGCACAAAGAGGGATGTATATGGTGCACAAAGAGGGATGTATATGGTGCACAAAGAGGGATGTATATGGTGCACAATTTACCAAAAATAGAAGGGTGTGTGGGTGACTCACCTGACCAGGAAGGGCTGTGGGAAGCAGCCAACAGTTTGTGTTATGATGTCCTGAAGTTGCAGCAGGTTAGTCAACAGCACCCCCTGGCGACACTTATCGATCTTGGTCACCACAATCTGCATCACACAACAGACAAAACAAGTTTGACAAAGATATCTCATTAACAAGTGCCGATAGGCTATATGATCATGAATGAATGACAGGTTCTCATTGTGTGCTAGTCCAAATCAGATACTGTGTTCCCAATTCCCAAGCAAAATAAGTGGCTCTATGAGGAATAATAGCAAACGTTTTCAGTCATCTTCTGGGTGGCTTTGGAGCTGCAGTGGCTAGGCCTATATTTTATTTGCAGTATGACGAGTGCATCCATTCATTCCATGTAAGTACATCAATGGGATAATTTAGTCTGACGTCAGTCCTTTAGTCTGTTGTTGCTCCACAAGGTGGACATGAGCTTTATTTAAGATCCCATTTACATAATTTTAGTTATATGATCAAAGTGCTTAATAACCTGATAGCATGAATAATTCACAGCTTCATGCATTAAGAACAGGAAAGGGCCAATCAATAATGGCTGGATCCAGGACTGCAGTTTTTAAATAGCTGAGTGGGACAAGTTAGAGTGTTCTACATTAATCTGCTCTCTACAGTGAGTGTGATGGAACTTGGAACATAACACACTAAGGAGGAGTGGGAGAGAAAAGGGTTAAATGACATGCAATGAAAATAGAGAACCTAGATTACAGCAAGATTATGTACTCTTAACATACACAAGGACACAAACAACAGAACACTGAGATGTTTAACATGGTGGAACAAGCTCCCTCACGACGCCAGGACAGCGGAGTCACTCACCACCTTCCGGAGACACTTAAAACCCCACCTCTTTAAGGAATACCTGGGATAGGATAAAGTAATCCTTCTACCCCCCCCCCCCCCCCCCCCCCCAAAGAAAGAAAAAAAAAAATAGAAAAACATTGTAAAGTGGTTATCCCACTATAAGGTGAATGCACCAATTTGTATGTCGCTCTGGATAAGAGCGTCTGCTAAATGACGTAAATGTAAATGTAATGTAAATGTTTAACAACAATGCCCTCATCTCATATGAAATATAGTTCCAATTAACATAGAGGTTAAGGTTTTGAAGAATGAACTGAGCACAGAGTATGTTAATCTCACCACGTAAGGCCGACTGAACTCTTCACACATCTCCAGGGCGATCATATCTGCCTCCTGCAGCCCAACACTGCCGTCCACCAAAAGGAAGGTCCTCACCAGACTGAGAGAAAAGTAACACAGCAGAGGGAAGCGTGATCATGTTACACACAAACAGACAAATGCATTCGATCTATATCAGGACTCTACAACTCTGTTCCTGGCGAGCTACTGTCCTGTAGGTTTTCGCTCCAACCCTAATCTAACGCACCTGATTCTAATAATTAACTGGTTGATAAGCTGAATCAGGTTCGTTACAACTGGGGTTGGAGTGAAAACCTACAGGAGGGTAGCTATCCATCAACCGGGTTGGTGAGCCCAGATCTACACTGAACAAAAATATAAATGCAACATGTGTTGGTCCCATGTTTCATGAGCTGAAATACAAAATACCAGACATTTTCAATATGCACAAAAAGCTTATTTTGCTCAAATTCTTTGGACACATTTATTTACATCCCTGTTAGTGAGCATTTCTCATTTGGCAAGATAATCCATCCACCTGACAGGGGTAGCATATCAAGTAACTGATTAAACAGCATGATCATTACACAGGTGCACCTTGTGCTGGGGACAATAAACGGCCACTTTAAAAATGTGCAATTCTGTCACACAAGAAAATGCCACAGATGTCTCAAGTTGAGGGAGTGTGCAATTGGCATGCTGACTGCAGGAATGTCCACCAGAGCTGTTGCCAGAGAATGTAATGTTCATTTGTCTACCATAAGCTGCCTCCAATGTCATTTTAGAGAATTTGGCAGTACGTCCAACTGGCCTCACAACCGCCCAGGACCTCCACATCCGGCTTCTTCACCTGCGAGATCGTCTGAGGGGTGGGGGAGGTGCTGAGGAGTATTTGTCTGTAATAAAGCCCTTTTGTGGTGAAAAACTCATTCAGATTGGGTGGGCCTGGCTCCCCAGTGGGTGGGCCTATGCCCTCCAAGGCCCACCCTTGGCTGCACCCCTGCCCAGTCATGTGAAATTCATAGTTTAGGGCATAATTTATTTATTTCAATTGACTTATTTCCTCATATGAACTGTAACTCAGTCAAATATTAGAAATTGTTGCGTTTAGATTTTTGTTCAGTATACTTACTGTACATTGATTGACGGCAACATAATGTAAAGCTCAGACATCCTGAAGACCTACTTTTTTCTTGAACCCAGATAGTGCTCCACCATCTCCACAAAGTCCTTGGGAGCCCTGTATCCATAACCAGGCATGTCCACCATGGTGAAAGCTTTGCCCACTTTGAAAAAGTTCATCTTCTTGGTATGGCCCTGAGAGAGAGTGGATAAAATGCCAGGTAGTGAAAGTACTTTAGAGAATGTATGGAAAGAAAGAGAGAGAGCGATAACACATGTAAAGATAACCCCCCCCCAATAAACAGCAGAACTTAGTTTACTCACTGGTGTTTTGGAGACTCTAATTTCTACGTCAGGAGCCAAGGAGAACAGAGCTCTGATGAGAGATGACTTCCCCACATTACTCCTGCCGATGAAACACACCTGGCAACGCACACACAATCACCATGATCAATATTACAATACAACAACAGCCAAGAGGTGTACGCACCTTAACAAGCTGATCAAATTGAAAATTATATATAAAAAAAAATAGTACAAAAAAAACTATCACTTGAAGCCTACTGTACGTAGATCTTTGAAAACGAGATAAGTTCATCTTAAAGTGTTTATATTATGTGATGCTGAGCACACTGCTATGGGTTTGCAACTGTGTGTTGCCAGCCATGATAAAAATCAGTCATTTGTAGAGATATGACAGTGTGCTACTGTAATATCCCTGGAGTCCCAGGGAACAAATCAGAGCTACTGGAGCCATCTGTCTCTCTGACACAAGATGGATGCAGAGTGCCGCTTCCCCGTGGGGCCGGGGGATAAATCACACTGACAGGGGAGAGGTGGTGAGCTGAGCGGTAACTAAAACCACGTGTCTCCCAGTCACTGAACCCTCTGGCTCTGCACCACTCCTCTTTCCAAACAACTTTCCATTTGGTGCTGCGGGGAAGAATCTAGGTTAAAGTCCTGGTCTGACTGAGGTTACATCAATCCATTTCAGAATTTGGTTAATTTATTAAGCCATGGCCAACGTTCCCTTCATTCCATTCTTATATGCATGATAGGATTAATCTGCCCATTCCACACACTTCAGTCATCTTTTCCCCCCCAGTCTTCCACCCACACACGCATGTGCACCACCCACCTACAGTGGGGAAAAAAAGTATTTAGTCAGCCACCAATTGTGCAAGTTCTCCCACTTAAAAAGATGAGAGAGGCCTGTAATTTTCATCATAGGTACACGTCAACTATGACAGACAAAATGAGAGAAAAAAATCCAGAAAATCACATTGTAGGGTTTTTAATGAATTTATTTGCAAATTATGGTGGAAAATAAGCATTTGGTCAATAACAAAAGTTTCTCAATACTTTGTTATATACCCTTTGTTGGCAATGACACAGGTCAAACGTTTTCTGTAAGTCTTCACAAGGTTCTCACACACTGTTGCTGGTATTTTGGCCCATTCCTCCATGCAGATCTCCTCTAGAGCAGTGATGTTTTGGGGCTGTCGCTGGGCAACACAGACTTTCAACTCCCTCCAAAGATTTTCTATGGGGTTGAGATCTGGAGACTGGCTAGGCCACTCCAGGACCTTGAAATGCTTCTTACGAAGCCACTCCTTCATTGCCCGGGCAGTATGTTTGGGATCATTGTCATGCTGAAAGACCCAGCCACGTTTCATCTTCAATGCCCTTGCTGATGGAAGGAGGTTTTCACTCAAAATCTCACGATACATGGCCCCATTCATTCTTTCCTTTACACGGATCAGTCGTCCTGGGCCCTTTGCAAAAAAACTGCCCCAAAGCATGATGTTTCCACCCCCATGCTTCACAGTAGGTATGGTGTTCTTTGGATGCAACTCAGCATTCTTTGTCCTCCAAACACAACGAGTTGAGTTTTTACCAAAAAGTTCTATTTTGGTTTCATCTGACATTCTCCCAATCCTCTTCTGGATCATCCAAATGCACTCTAGCAAACTTCAGACGGGCCTGGACATGTACTGGCTTAAGCAGGGGGACACGTCTGGCACTTTGAGTCCCTGGCGGTGTAGTGTGTTACTGATGGTAGGCTTTGTTACTTTGGTCCCAGCTCTCTGCAGGTCATTCACTAGGTCCCCCCGTGTGGTTCTGGGATTTTAGCTCACCGTTCTTGTGATCATTTTGACCCCACGGGGTGAGATCTTGCGTGGAGCCCCAGATCGAGGGAGATTATCAGTGGTCTTGTATGTCTTCCATTTCCTAATAATTGCTCCCACAGTTGATTTCTTCAAACCAAGCTGCTTACCTATTGCAGATTCAGTCTTCCCAGCCTGGTGCAGGTCTACAATTTTGTTTCTGGTGTCCTTTGACAGCTCTTTGGTCTTGGCCATAGTGGAGTTTGGAGTGTGACTGTTTGAGGTTGTGGACAGGTGTCATTTATACTGATAACAAGTTCAAACAGGTGCCATTAATACAGGTAACGAGTGGAGGACAGAGGAGCCTCTTAAAGAAGAAGTTACAGGTCTGTGAGAGCCAGAAATCTTGCTTGTTTGTAGGTGACCAAATACTTATTTTCCACCATAATTTGCAAATAAATTCATTAAAAATCCTACAATGTGATTTTCTGGATTTTTTTTCTCATTTTGTCTGTCACAGTTGACGTGTACCTATGATGAAAATTACAGGCCCCTCTCATCTTTTTAAGTGGGAGAACTTGCACAATTGGTGGCTGACTAAATACTTTTCCCCCCCCACTGTAATACTTTCCTCAAATCATATTTGAAGCCATTTTCAAATACAGTTGAAGTCGGAGGTTTATATACACCTTAGCCAAATACATTTAAACTCAGTTTTTCACAATTCCTGACATTTAGTCCTAGTAAAAATTCACTGTCTTAGGTCAGTTAGGATCACCACTTTATTTTAAGAATGTGAAATGTCAGAATAATAGTAGAGAGTATGATTTATTTCAGCTTTTATTTCTTTCATCACATTCCCAGTGGGTCAGAAGTGTACATACACTCAATCAGTATTTGGTAGCGTTGCCTTTAAATTGTTTAACTTGGGTCAAACATTTCAGGTAGCCTTCCACAAGCTTCCCACAATAAGTTGGGCGAATTTTGGCCCATTCCTCGTGACAGAGCTGGTGTAACTGAGTGAGGTTTGTAGGCCTCCTTGCTCGCACACACCTTTTCAGTTCTGCCCACAAATGTTCTATAGGATTGAGGTCAGGGCTTTGTGATGGCCACTCCAATACCTTGACTTTGTTGTCCTTAAGCCATTTTGCCACAACTTTGGAAGTATGCTTGGGGTCATTGTCCATTTGGAAGACCCATTGCGACCAAGCTTTAACTTCCTGACTGATGTCTTGAGATGTTGCTTCAATATATCCACATAATTTTCCTTACTCATGATGCCATCTATTTTGTGAAGTGCACCAGTCCCTTCTGCAGCAAAGCACCCCCACAGCATGATGCTGCCACACCCGTGCTTTATGGTTGGGATTGTGTTCTTCGGTTTGCAAGCTGTCCCCTTTTTCCTCCAAACATAACGATGGTCATTATGGCCAAACAGTTCTATTTTTGTTTCATCAGACCAGAGGACATTTCTCCAAAAAGAAGCAGTGGCTTCTTCCTTGCTGAGCGGCCTTTCAGGTTATGTCGATATAGGACTGGTTTTACTGTGGATATAGATACTTGTGTACCCGTTTCCTCCAGCATCTTCACAAGGTCCTTTGCTGTTGTTCTGGGATTGATTTGCACTTTTTGCACCAAAGTACGTTCATCTCTAGGAGACAGAACGCGTCTCCTTCCTGAGTGGTATGACGGCTGCGTGGTCCCATGGTGTTTATACTTGCGTACTATTGTTTGTACAGATGAACGTGGTACCTTCAGGCATTTGGAAATTGCTCCCAAGGATGAACCAGACATTTTTTTCTGAGGTCTGTGTAGACAGTGGTAGATTTCGTGGTAGGAAGTCTCACATGGTCTAATGGCAGCCTGCTGTCTAACTCAGCAGGAACATGGTGCGGTTCGGACGCTTATTTGATAGCGAGGGACACATTTCGCTTCACGTCTGGTAAGTGGCGTTCCTAAAGATTATACATATGCCTTTTGACAGGAAACTGCTATTTTGTGGTATGGTTATTTTCCGTCACCACCCACAACAACGATGCACAACTCAGGGAGTCCAACCAGATTCCGACGTTGTGTCCCAAAGCTAGTCAAACTGTGTGTCAAATGAAATCTAAGAGTCTATATTTTTTTGGGAAATTAAGGCATATAAATGTTTCAACCATTTTCCATCCTAAAAATGTTGAATAAGCAATTTCTTGTCAAATAGATGGAAAAGGGGTCTTTGAAAACATCTAACAGAAAAAGTTAAAGAAATATTAGAAATATATCAAAAACACAATAATGTTGAAGTAAAGACAACTGCCAACTAATAGTAACACTAATATTACATACCAGATTGCGTTAGTCTTGGATCCTCGCTTTAAACTGGCATGGTGCAATGCCACTGAGAAAACTGCTCTTACTGCAGACATCAATGATATCAATGATCTTGCCACAAAGTTCACCAGCACAACACAGGATGTCCCACACAGTGAGCCAACACCACCAGTGAAGAAGAGTAGATTGGGCACACTGTTTGGTTTCATGGAACAACAAAGCGTGGCTGCATGAAACACCAAAGAAGTGTTGAGGAGTACCTCATGACCCCATATCTTCCACCAACTACTGATCCTCTGAAATTCTGGAATACACACAGTCAAACATACCAAACACTGAGCAGAGTTGCTGCTGAGTACATACATGTACTAGCATTCTCTACAGCTGTGGAGCGGCTTTTCAGCATTGGAGGGTGAATCTTCAGACCAGATTGCTGCTCCATGTCAGACAAGCATTTTGAAAAACTGATGTTTTAAAAAAAAAAATGTAACAATAGTATATTTTCGTCTTTCATGAGTCAATGTAAAATTTTAGCTGCATATCTTGATCTAAAAGTGAAATAAGACCTAGCCTATACAAGTAGTTTGTTATTTCAAATGAAACTACTATGTACATTCACAACTATTTTAAAATACATTCAACACACATCCCTCCACCTACCTCTGGCTGGTTCTGTGAGGGTGCGTGTTCCATCCTCACGGCGGAGGTGTGGTAATCGATCTTGTGTGAGGGGGACGGGGAGAAGAGTTTTTCTGCCTTGGCTATGTCCTCCACACTGGGCTGGAAGAGCTGGAAGTGGGCCCTATCCACTGAACAAGCCAAGTGGGGCTCCAGCTCACTGAAGGGGAACAGCAGGCCCCGGAGCTTCCTCTGGGGGAGCAGGGAGGCTTGATGGAAAGAAGCCAGGTTGTGAGCACCCTGCTGGGATGGAGTCCAAAATCCAGTCCCTGGCTTTAGCCATAGCCTCCTGCAGAACATCTTGGACTCTTGTTTTTTTGTTTTGATGTGTGATCTGCAAAGGTATGAGGTGTTAAAGGTTATATCTGTGTATTTGTATATATAGTAACAATTGTTGGTTGACTAATGTTTTGAATACCACTATGCACCGCCCTCACACAAGTGTGGGCAATTGTAATTATCACCTAAGCGCTTGAATAAAAAAACTATGGGTTTGGCACATCTGGTTAAGGGCTTGTAATTAAGCATTTCACGGTAAGATCTACACCTGTTGTATTCGGCGCATGTGACAAATACAATTTGATCTATTGATGCTCTGATGAAGTCACAACTGTCGAAACGCGTTAGCCTGCCCAGACGAAAATAAAAAGGAGAAATGAGGTGACGTCTTTAAAAAATATATTGTGCCGTCGTTTCCCAATGTTCTTGAACTTGGGATTTAATTTGAACTATGAGGTGTTATATTTTGTAGGTTAACAAATGACGTGGCTATGATTACATTTTATGGCAACTAGCTAGCTATCTGTTTACGTCGCAATTCTTAATTAATTAAACTTACCCAATGACTTGCTGCTATACTATGCCAATAATTCCTGCGCGTTTAAATGTGACCTGATTCGTTGTTAGATGTACAATTTCTTGTCAACGTCCTCCATGTTTGATTTTAGTGGTTACATTGAACTGCATCCGGCAGAAACAAGTAGACATGATTTATAGTTCTGCCTTAAAACTAACCCTCTCCATTGTCGAAGTGTAAAATCCATGAACAGTTATTTCTCACTTCAAAAATAAAGCCTCAGCATTAGTTTCCCCCAAAAAAGTGTATAGATTATTTACAGTTAGTTACTCTAACCACAATGAACCAAGCAAAAATGTCCACATCGGCATGCTGTGGTCTAAAATATTGCAAAATGTGCAGTTTTGTCACACAACACAATGCGACAGATGTCTCAACTTTTGAGGGAGCATGCAATTGGCATGCTGACTGCAGGAATGTCCACCAGAGCTGTTGCCAGAGAATTTAATGTTCATTTCTCTACCATAAGAAACGTTGTTTTAGAGAATTTGGCAGTACGTCCAACCAGCCAGCTGTGAAGCGACACTCCCCATCCAACCTGACAGAGATTGAGAGAATCTGCAGAGAAGAATGGGAGAAACTGACCATGTGTATGGTGTTGTGTCGTCGAGCGGTTTGCTTAAATCAACGTTGTGAACAGATTGCCCCGTGGTGGAGGTGGGGTTATGGTATAGGCAGGCATAAGCTACGGACAACAAACACAATTGCATTTTATCTACGGAAATTTGGATCCACAAGATACCGTGATGAGATCCTAAGGCCCATTGTTGTGTCATTCATCCGCCGCCATCACCTCATGTTTCAGCATGATAATGGAGGGCCCATGTCGTAAAGATCTGTACACAATTCCTGGAAGGTGAAAATATCCCAGTTCTTCCAGGACCTTCATACTCACCAGATATGTCACCCATTGAGCATGTTTGTTTTCTGATCCACGCCCCTACCTTTTCTTTAAGGTATCTGTGACCAACAGCTACATATCTGTATTCCCGTTCATGTGACATCCATAGATTAGGGCCTCATTTATTTATTTAAATTGACTGATTTTCTTATGAACTGTAACTCAGTAAAATCTTTGAAATTGTTGCATGTTGCATTTGTTCGGAAAGTATTCAGACCCCTTGACTTTTTCCACATTTTGTTATGTTGCAGCCTTATTCTAAAATGTATTTAAAAAACATTTTTTGTTGCAATCTACACACAATACCCCATAATGACGAAGCGAAAACTATTTTTTAGACATTTTTGCAAATTTATTATAAATTAAAAACAAATACCTTATTTACATAAGTATTCAGACCTTTTGCTATGAGACTCGAAATTGAGCTCAGGTGCATCCTGTTTCCATTGATCATCCTTGATGTTTCTACAACTTGATTGGAGTCCACCTGTGGTAAATTCAATTGATTGGACATGATTTGGAAAGGCACACACCTGTCTATATAAGGTCCCACAGTTGACAGTGCATGTCAGAGCAAAAACCAAGCCATGAGGTCAAAGGAATTGTCCATAGAGCTCTGAGACAGGATTGGGGAAGGGTACCAAAACAATTCTGCAGCATTGAAGGTCCCCAAGAACACCGTGGCCTCCATCATTCTTAAATGTAAGAAGTTTGGAACCACCAAGACTCTTCCTGGAGCTGGCCACCTGGCCAGACTGAGAAATTGGGGAGAAGGGCCTTGGTTAGGGAGGTGACCAAGAACCCAATGGTCACTCTGACATAGCTCTGGAGTTTCTCTGTGGAGATGGGAGAACCTTCCAGAAGGACAACCATCTCTGCAGCACTCCACCAATCAGGCCTTTATGGTAGAGTGGCCAGACGGAAGCCACTCCTCAGTAAAAGGCACATGACAGCCCACTTGCAGTTTGCCAAAAGGCACCTAAAGGACTCTCAGACCATGAGAAACAAGGCCTCTGAAGTGACCCGGAGGCCTCCTTTGCCTGAGTGGCCGTGATGGTCGCAGAGTGCCCAGATGTGGAACAGGCGGCTCAGTCCGTGGCAGGGGGCTGCCCCTCTGGGGCCCAGGGGATGAAGGCAAGGACATGGGGGACAAGCATGAGGGAACAGGGAATACAGTCCGTGGCTCCGGGGAACCACGCGTTGACACAGGCAGGGAGACTGGGTGAGTGGGCTGTCTGGAGCCTTGTCTGCTGTGCCTGGGGGTGGGTGCTTGGGGAATGTCATTGCCAGAGAGGGGAATTGTGGGGGTCCCTGGGGTCTGGGGAGAAGAGGCCCCTCTGTATGGGGCTAACCTGTCCCGGTGCAGTGCCACCTTTCTGCCCCTGGGAGAAAGCTACACCCGGTACACAACCTCCCCTACCCTCTCCAGGACGCTGAAAGGCCCCACCCAGTGGCTGTCCAACTTGGGGCATCTGCCTTTCTTTCTCAGGGGGCTGTAGACCCAGACCAGCTCCCCAGCCACAAGTGCCTTCCCCGGGTGTGCACGTCATAGTTCCTCTTCTGCCTCACACCTGAATTCATCAGTTGCTCTCTGGCGGTGGTGTGGGCTGTCTTCAGGCGGTCCTGGAGTCTCCGGGCATACTCCGGCCCCGGGGGAACAGGAGGGCTATCCAGGGGCCGACCAAACGCCATCTCTGCAGGGGTGCGGATCTCTCTCCCCAGCATGAGGAGGGCAGGCATGGAGGAGCTGGAGTCTTGGACAGTGGAGTGGCATGCTATGAGGACCATGGGCAGGTGCTTGTCCCAGTCACGCTGGTGTTTGGCAGAGACTATGGCCAGCTGCTGTCCAAGCGTTTTGTTGAAGCACTCCACAAGGCCATCACTTTGAGGATTGAGAGGAGTGGTGCGGGTTTAGTGCATACCCAGCCTCTCACACATGGTGGCGAACACACGGGACTCAACGTTTCTGCCTTGGTCTCTGTGGATGGACTCCGCAGCTGAACATTCCCGCTGTCAGGGCGTCGACGATGGTCTCTGCCTCCTGGTCAGGCAGAGCAAAGGCCTCGGGCCATTTTGTGAAATAGCCCATGGCCGTGAGCACCCAGCGGTTTCCACTGTCTGTGGTGGGGAATGGCCCAATTACATTCACTCCCAACCTCTCCATGGGAGCCCCAACTGGGAACTGTTGGAGCTGAGCATGAGAACGGCCTGGAGGGCTCTTTCTCGCTGTACCGTTGTCACAGCGGCAGCAAAAGTCCAAAAGTACGCGGCGAAGGGTTTTTGTGACCCCAAAGTGTCCAGTCCCCACCCCCCATGAGTGCTTTGGAGCACAGCCTCCTGCAGTGCTTTTGGGACCACCACCTCTCCTCTCCCGTAGCTGGCTCCTTCCATGCCCGCTGTAGCACACCATCAGCCAGCCGCAGTATCTCAAACTTTGACCACAACCCTTTGGTCACGAGTGATAGCGCTGCCACCTCTTCCCACGGTGGCCTCAGCTGCGCCTCTACCCACTGGAGCACTGGCTGTAGGTCTGTGTCCCGTCCCTGCTGCTGCCCCCATTCAGCCACGTCGACAGTCTGCAGCTCACAGCAGACAGGCCCGCTCGCCCAACACACTGTGGCACAGACCCTCTCCTCCGCACACAGTCTCTCTCACAGCCCTCTCTCCGCTCACAGTGGCGGCACCCGTCTGCAGTACAGGGCCGACGGGACATGGTGTTGGCGTGGCGTGCCCCTGCCCTGTTTACCACTGTGAGGTCGTACGGCTGAAGCTCCTCCAACCAGCGTGCAACCTGCCCCTCTGGCTCTTTGAAAGACATGAGCCACTGGAGAGCAGAGTGGTCAGTCCTTACAGTAAAGGGCAGGCCACCCAGGTAGTACTTGAAGTGTTTGATGGAAGCCACAACAGTGAGAAGCAAGGTAAGGTCAGGGGGGGCGAGCACGGGGGCCTCGATCAGTGCACGTTTGAGGGTGTTGAAGGCCTCCTCGCACTCCACTGTCCAAGTGAAGTCCTTTGGCAGCAGGCGGTTCAGGGGAGCAGCGATGCTTCAGAAGCCCAGTACAAACCTCCTGTAGTACGAGGCCAGGCCCAGGAAGCTCTTCAGCTGATGCTGGTCGGTGGGGGTGGGGGTGGGCCAGTCTCGGACAGCCCCCACTTTGTCCTCCATGGTGCTGATACCCTCCTCCCCCACTTGGTGGCCCAAGAAGGACACACCTCTCTCCTCATGATGTGGCACTTCTCGGGGTGGAGCCCCAGGGCAGACTGGAAGGAGCTGCCATTGGACAGGATGTCATCGAGGTATACCAGACACTCCTGTCGGGGGATGCCCTCCAGCACCCTGTCCACCAAACGCTCAAAAGTAGCTGGAGCATTGCACAGGTCGAAGCACGGTACCTTGAACTGCCAGTGTCCTCTGTTAGTGAAGAACGCAGTTTTGGGGAGAGGGGCACCTGCCAGTAGCCACTGTGGAGGTCTAGTGAGGAGAACCAGGAGGACCCTCTAACCAGCTCCAGCGACTCATCGATGTGTGGTATGGGGTATGAGTCCTTCCTGGTTACTTCATTCAGCCGCCTGTAGTCCGTACAGATCCTCAGCTTGCCCCCCTTCTTTGGAACCATGCCGACTGGTGCCGCCCAGGAGCTGTCTGAGGGCTAGATACAGTCTGCCCGCTGCATCTCCAACACAGCCTTGTCTGCCGCCTCCTAGCGTGCCAGCGGGATACGGCGGGGATGCATCTTGATGGGCCGAGCATCACCTGTGTCGATCTCATGCTGCGCCAGATGAGTCTGACCCACCTCTTCCTCACTCAGCGCAAAGCTGTCTCTGAATTCAAACAGCAACTACCACAACCGTTCCTGCTGCTCAGGGTCAAGACCAACACAGTTCTTCTCCTATATCTCCCTCACTGCAGACAGTGTCCTCTCCTCTCCCATCTGGGGTAGCTGGGCTGGGGGGGGCGTGGCCCAGGCTCAAGGAGGGATGTGTCGTGGAGGTAGCTGGGGGAATGTAATACACAGCCATAGGTGACAGAGGGGCTGGGGAAAAGTCACACACAGATGTGGGGGAGGGGAAGCAGCCATGAGTGTCTGCTGCTTTAACTGTTGGAGTAAGGGGGTTGTTGGGTTGTGTCGATGTGACATTCGCTACGGTATTTAAGAGCAGTTTAATCCTTTTTGGCCTCGGCTAC